TCATAACGGCGGCAGAAGTAAATATCTTGCTTCGACCTCACCATACCTATTTTGACATCTAGCGATTATCAAAGAAATACAACATGACATCAGTGTCATTCGGCTCGCTTTCCTATTTAAAAAATTATTGTCGAAAATTTGTGATGACTAGTATCTCGGCAGCTACATGCCTAGATCTTGGCCCCGAAACTAAGGGGCGCAAGTTGCACTGATACCCACAGATCTCCCCGTCGCCCATGTATCTGCCCGGAAGATTGCACGTATGTGGATAATTCTACTTACTCGCCAACGCTCGCCATCGTCCCACTGCCCCCTCTTGCCGAGGGTTCGCCTGTTAGCGTTCCAGTGGCGGAGAGCTCTCGTTGAAAACTTTTCATGCTTCCCCATGTGCTTAGATCTTGGGGGTCGCATTGGTCATGTCTCGGGACACTTGCTTCTACGTAGCTCGGTGGCACATACCCCATTTGCCGTGGTCAATACTTTACTTTATCCCGATTATATGCATCTTCTAACCGACCGCCGAACTCTAGTGTAGGGGCCGGGTACCCTGGGACCGCGGTTCGCGCCGGGAGGGAATCGACTTGGTCTTTGCAGAAGGTTTCCTCGAGAATATGACTTGCGTTAGGGCCGCGAAGGAGTTTCCGTATTTGGCTGGGGAGGATGTTGCCACGTAGTATGGCTTCGGTGGTCCTCGCCAACGGACTCTGAGCGAGGTCTCCAACGACTCCGACAGTACCGACTCGATGGCTGCCAGGAACAGCGACCATGGGAAGAATTAAAAACTGTACCCACCGGTGGGCAATAATGATCCCAGCCTATGAGACGTGTCTTTGAGTCATGCAGGCGGATTTTCCAAGTACTACCTTGTTTGATCTTGTCAAATACCCCGTTACGGGCTGTATATGCTGAATGTGTTAGTCGAGAATGTAGAGTGTAGGTTATACCCTGAAGTAACATCTTTGAATTGTCTTTGCTGTTGTTGGCTTGTTAGTCTGTAGATACAATAGTATAGATCAATGACAGGTACCACCCAGATGATGTGTATTGTCTTGAGTATAAACCGTAGTACATATACACACATCATGTATACCAACCCCTTTACTTTTGCTTGGCTGTCACACCTCATGCACTGGCCTATTCTTATATAAATTCTGCTTTGCCCTCATATCTTGGATTGCTGAGTCACCTGTATGTTTATACAAATTTTTAGCTAAGTATTTGTGATTGAAGGATCCCTAGTAGCCTATCGGGCTTACCTTGGGCAATCACGAGTGAAGTGTGCCTGCAATTGGAGACTGCATAAACCACAAGCTCTTATTGAAGTGCATCGATATCCCCGCGACCTCATGCAGTAGTGCCCCCGGCCGAGTTGAAAACCACATGCATGGATGGCTGCATTAGGGCCATGGACGATCAACCATTCTAACATAATGCACTGTGACTACAATCCCTTGGAAACAAATCTATTCCCAACTCGGTAGCCATGCAACTCTATGCCCCCTAGAGCATGTAGTGCATCACAGGGCCAGTCACATACCTCAACAAGACTAGAGCCCCCACCCCAGCTACGACATAGTAGATGTATAGGATCTAAACAGTGGAGAACTGTAACATGACACAAGCCGGTCCCTTTCACTCCTGTCCCATTCTCGTCCTAGTCTTATTCCGCTTAAAGTTCCGATCACAAGCTGTTGGTGGATAATTGACACTGCCGCATTAGGCAATCCTAGCCCTAACCCCAGATCCCCTTCATTGACCTCTGTCCGTACCACCTCCCCATGCCATACATCGTCACCTCTACCCCTCGAAAGTATGACTTCCAGTATCCCTGGCTAACATCATTGAGATCAACAATGAGGCAACCAGGCAGCCGTGTTTCAACGGGGCTTGGATGACGTCATCCATGTCAATCACTGCGATAACGAGAGGAAGTATCGGTGAACAGCTGGAGCTTGCCCCTCTTTATATCCAAACAGCGCCCCCCCCTCTCCAGCTACGACAACACTCTCTGATAACTCTTTCGCCGGACGAAACAGAACATCATACACAATGCCTGGAAACTTTGGTCAGAAAATCCTCAAGACCTTCGGGTTGGACGATAATCAACCTGGTCACGGCCAGGGCCAGCCTCCACAGCAGTACCAACCACCGCCGCAGCACTACCAACCACCCCCACAGCAAGGTATCCAGGCCAGCAGCTGCCTGGGAACCGTCACATTGAAGACGGCGATCGCGCACTTCACCCGGACAAGCACGGTACATACCCCCGGCTCGCCAGACTCGGGGATGGGTCGTTGCTCGCCTCGTTCACCCACTTCCAAGGGAAGACACGCGTGCTGGCCGTATCGAGAAGTACGGATGGCGGTCGGACGTTCGAAGACTGGGGAGAAGTCTCCCGCGGCGAGGGCGATGTCGACAACGTGTTTCTGCTGGAGGTCGCGCCGGGGACGGTGCTGGGGGCATTCCGGAACCACGACCTGGGGCCCAACGGGCCCACGCACTTCCGGATCACGGTGTGTCGTTCGACGGACTGCGGCCGGAGCTGGCACTTCCTGTCGCAGGCGGCGGAGAAGAGCCCTCCACACGGCATCTGGGAACCGTTCATGCGGCTGGGCCGCGGCGGCGAGGTGCAGCTGACGTATTCGCTGGAGTTCGCGCATAACAACCAGAGCACGATGATGGTGCGGTCGTTCGACGGCGGCGCCACCTGGACTCAGCCGCAGTGTCTGCACGGGGATTGTGATCTGCTGCGAGATGGAATGAACGGTATCGCGCCGACGTGGGATAACGGTCGCGAGGCGCTGGTGATGATCTTCGAGACTACCTCCTTCGGCACGTTCAACTTGGAGGCCCTGATCTCCTACGATGACGGCCAGACTTGGGGCTGGCGTCATCGCGTGTATGTCCCGCCGCAGGGCCACAATGCCGGAGCGCCCCAGATCGCCTCCTTCGCTGATGGATCGCTGGCGGTTATCTTCATGACCGATGAGGACCACCATGAGGTGTCCTGGACGCAGAATGCCTCCATCAAGGTTGTCTTCGCTGGACCCCCGCAGAACGGCCAGATTCACTGGACCAGACCGTCCGTGATCTGTCCTCATAGTAGTCATTGGCCGGGCATTGCGCCTGTGGATGGGAATACTTTGTTTGCGACGTTCGAATGTGAGGGACGCCCGAGGGCAAAGGCAATCACTCTACGCTGAGTATTTGGTTGAGCGTGGTGATTTTGATCTAGTGAGGGTTGCAGCGAATGGCTTTAGTTGTAGAGCAACTGCCAGCAGATGTTGCCATGAATCAAAATCATATATTACCGCTTGATAATGTGTAACTTTTTAAGAATTACAGAAAACATAAAGCGTCGTAGAAACCTAACGGTGCAGCATGCAAGTAAAATTCATTATCTGGCGTATCAATCAACTAGCAGAGTGGATGGATAAAACTACTATAGATTCGCAACCAGCTCATCGACGCTCTTCATCTCCTTGGCATTGTTCTCCCCAACATCCAAAGCAACTAACACCCGGCTGACGCAGTTATATCCCGCAATACCGGTTGTCAATTCGACGATCTCACGATCCGAGAAACCCTCCGTCTGCAACTGCGCGAAAGTCGCATCCTGCACCTTGACCGTCTGCGTCATTTCATCCGCATACTGCACGATCGCCTGTTGTCGGGAAGTCAAGGCGCTTTGGGCCAGGGCCTCCTTGGCTTTCGATAGCTCTGCAGCTTCTCCGACCACGGTGGAGGGTAGAGTCCGCACGGCGTGTAACTCTGGCGCTTGGATTCCTCCCTTCAACGCCAGCGGGGCATGGGCGTTCCACTCGTAGACTGCCCCAGTCAAGACCGCCACGCGACAGACGGCGAGCTCGAGAAGTCCCTGGTCAATGATGGTGCGGGTCCGGATGGCGCCGAGGAAGCTGTTCCAGCCATCAGCGACCGGGGGCGAATGCAGCAGGGACAAATCGAGCGGAATGAGAGGGCGGGGGTTGCGACGGGCTGCAATGCGGGCGTAGATGTCCGCCGCGTCGGGGTCGGATGCGGGGGGTTCGGAGGGGGCGTAGGGCAGACGCATTTTCAATGGGGAGATCGTGGAGAATCTGGGGATGCTGGTCAATATCCGTGCATCCGTCGAGGCCGACGCTATATGTCTACACAAGATGCACTTACCTGGGGTTGGTTCTATTTGCAAGTCTTTGGGTTGTTGTTAGGTGTTGTGTCACTGATTTGCAAGGGGACAGTCGAAGCGGAAAGCCCCTCATGCTTTTTAGAGCGTCACTTGGGCTTCATGGTGGTGATTGCTTGACCAGGTGGGGATCTTCGCTCTTCTCTTCTCTCCTCATTTGCGTTTATCCGCTCGGCAGAACAAAACGGATATCCACCAGGCAAACAGGACAAACAAGACGAACTCGGAGGACAAACGGATCGAGACACGTGATCTGCACGGGCGATATGAGCTAAGCCTATCGAGGAAGGTGATCGGGTGATCCTCGATCGAGAATGAGAACTGAGTCTCGACTGCAAACGGAGTATCTGCCAGTCTGCCCAATGCTCAAATGCCACTCTTTGACGCTCAAGTCTTGTCGGAATCGAGTGTATCGATTGCGCAAGCACCCACTATAATATTAGCGTACCTCAACTTCGGGTACTGCCGGTCTGGGTGAAGATCTCGTTCCAAAGTGTCGGTGCGTAGATGAGCTGAATGATAGCCAACGCATCGGGTACTACCGCCCCCACTGCAACTAGGAGAGGGGCACAGCAGATATTGGTCATCTACTCCGGAGTCAGAGCTGTTCAGCTCACCACCAAAAGTCTGCATCACGTATTTGGCGTAGATTGTCGCCGGAGAAAGGCATAAAATGGAGTAATAACCCGGCGTCTGAGCCTCAACCATTTATCTTAGCTCTCTGGCAGACATATCCAAGTTTAACTCGTCTTTGCCTCTTCTGCACATCATCTTACAACATCTCTCAAGCTGTCCCTTTACATATTCTTATACAACGATGGCTCACCGCACCGCAATGGCACTCGTACGTAACGACACCTCCCAGCCGATCTATGCGGTTGGCCTGGTCCATAAGTACAGTGACCAGCACCAAAACAGCGACGAATGGGGCATCATTCAGTCCGGAAAGACCAGTACTGAATTGCAAGTTGATTACACCACGGGGTGGTGGACCACCGGCCGGGACTGGTGAAAGGTCTTTTGGGTCACCCAGGACGAGTCCACTCTCAAAAAGACATTTCACTATTCCGACTCCGAGAATTTTTGCAAAGCATTTGATACGATCGAAGGCGTCGATCCCGCTCTTTGGCTAACGCTGGCTGCTTCTGTTGGTTCGATAGCAAGCACGGCCGCCGGGAATGGACCATTTAATAAGACAGCCGCAGGGGTCGCAGCCCTTGCTGCAAGACCTCTGACGGCTGGATTTCTCGCCCCAACCACGACGGTTGGATTCAAGCAGCCCATTTTGAGGGAGGAAGATGACAGTGCGGATATAGAAATCATCATTCACGAAGACACCACTATCACCATCAAGTCACCCTCGGGAGTTTCTCAAACCGTTTCCACCAAGAAGGCTATTGATTTAATCTTCCCATGACCAAGTCTCCTGTATAGGAAGCGACCCTTCTTTTCGTGAATGGTTTAGCTCTATCGTGATAACCTAATCGAGTGGTAGTTGGTTATCCCAATACCAACAAATTTGATATTGACCTCTGATTACTGTGACCCATTCATGACTTCCAGGTTGTTTAGCTTTTGCTTCACTATGTTTTTTTTGGAGTTCATAGAATAATATTACATGAGATTACTCATATCTGAAGCCAGCTTTTATTGAAATTTAATGTGCCCCTTGGCTTCCGTACTTCGCGATTACTATTTCTTCGCTCTGGTTCTTGTGATAATTGTTACCATAGAAACCATACTTTAATGCTGCTTAGAATTTAGATTGGATCACTTTAGAGAGAAACTTTTCACAGGCACAGGGCATTTGTTTATAATAGATACTGAAAGAAGTCCTAATAATCATATTCCTTAACCAGATGGACCGTGGGCACAAGGGGCTGCAGATCTCATGTACCCAGCCAACCACAGCTTATGATGACAATGCATAGTAGGCATTAAATAAATGTAGCACATGAACTCTAACGATAATATCACAAATACACACCAAGTAAACTCACTGATTGCCAATCGATCCAAATCACATCAGACCCCATCGACGGTATTCGTTGTCGTTCCATTCATAGGCCTTTTGACTTCATGCATCCCAGTCAATAATATATCGCAGCGGACAAATATAAGCTTGATATAGAACTAATTAGAAAACATACCATTTCCTTTTCTGCTGATTCCAAATAAGATTCGAGAGATTCTAATCCAGGTGGACAATTATATTGCTTGTGACGAGGTTGTTTATACAAATGTAGCCAGAGTGGTACAGCCGGGACGTGCCACTCCAAAAGTATAAATTTAGAGATACTATAATATTTTATTCTCTCAGTTAATTGAAGAAATAGGCTTGATATTGTGAATCTTAATTAATCTACTATTCAAATATAATCAGTGTCGTAGACAGCTGAGCTGAGTAATTTTCAATTGTTGTGGAATTAATACTAGATTGCTCCGGCTCCGGCTCAATACACATTGAGTACATAGGAGTGCTCAGTAGAGTCAGTACAGACATATATTATGTCCTATGCTCCGGGAGTAATCACTGAATAAAAACCAGTCCCGGGCTAGTCCTGTTCCGAAAAGCGAAAGTTGCAATGATTGAAAGTTTCCGCGGAAAAACAGTTCAATAGTAGATCCAAGATATTGGGCCATCTCAGAGATGCTCAGCTCACAACCAAAAGTATCCACCACATATCTTGGGTAGACCATCGCTGTAGATGAACATAGGTTGAAACAATAGTCCGGTCTTTGGGTGCTCTCCCACCATTCCTATATCATGACCGAGACAGAAATGCCAGCAACGGCGGAAGTGCGGGCACTTTCGTCAGGCTAACTCGAAGAGGCCTGACTCACAGCAGCTCATATCAATTATGATGTTACATGAGAATTAATCTATAGCAAGCATACCTTATCCCACTTGAGGAGCCCATAGTGCCAGCTCCCCGACCATTGAGAAGATAGTCGACCAAGTAAGGGGACCCTCGAATCATGCAAGGCCGTTTGAAAGAAACCCCTTTATGCAGTTTCACTTACTTCATCTTTTCGCAGAGGCTGCCGATGAGGTGGGTTGCACTCGAGTGGTATACACTGAAGGTGCATTAGTATCCTGTATAATAACGGCCACTATAGCTCTCTAGTACAAGTTAGCACTCTTCAATATATTGGCCGATCATACAACCCATTCCTAGCAAATATCATGCGATAGATAGATAGCACAACATCCTTGGAGATGTTTTTAACGATTGTCTCGGAGACACATTGTACAGTAACCGCCGAGTGAGCAATGGCGTCCCCACCAAAATGAACATCGGAAATATAGGCGGATTTAACGGCCACTAAAGTAATCCAGGGATATTTATTCAGGCTATAGGGAGTACTATACTATGCATAATCATATGCATAGTACCCTTTTGCCCCTGGCCCCACGTGGTTGACCATGGAAAGATGTCACGCTTTACGGGGCTTGAAGAACCCTAATTCACCCTAATTCGAGTCATTTGTGGGCCATCGAGTCCTAAGCAGTTGCTTAGCACATGCCCATTTGCTTTCCTTTTATTTTTATTTGATTATATTTTATTTTACTTTATTTTGCTTTGCAATTTCGCCTTTTTAGATACCTCTCGATTGAATTTTCCTCCTTTCCGACACAGATGAAACATCGGCGGAGGATTGAGCTCGGCATGTTGGATACGCCGATATACCTCCATGTAGTATGGGCTAGTATTGTAGGAGCCTCTGCCTCGGAATTAATAGTCAGATGAGTTAGAAACAAATCGGAGCATCCGATACCCGAACTGATTAGAAATGCGTACGGAACATGAACCAGATGACTTTTACGGCGTATATCGCGCTGATCCCTATTTATACCCGTAAACAATACCACCCTGATTTATTGGTGTGTGCAGAGTGGCCCCGCTAAAGATCGGGTGTTCCTGAGATCCGCCGGTAGGCTTTTCTCGGATTGTCTCAATTCTCCAAAAAAGAATACCACTCAAAATGATATGGCCCACAACCCTCCAGGAAGTCTAAGAGACCCCGTTTCGATGACAATATTACCCATCGTCGCCTGGTTGACCATGACGGCTGAATTGCTTCGAACTGTTTTGCAGAAAAGCCTATTCTGCTAAGTTCCAATAATGCCTGCGCCAAGTGGAGCAACAAACCGACCAGAAGGTTGAACTTATTCCGTGTCGCTGTTCGGATGCGCTAGGGCGGTGGATCAATTGAATAATCAATCATGATCGCATGTCTTACCTGGATACGGAGTATACTCCAGTTATTTCCTCAGCTGAGCACTCCCGTATCGGTAGCACGGGCTAACCTTGGATCGCAATGGTTGCTAACGTGCTGCTCCACAGCTCATTATAAATAAAAGGAAAGATGTCGTCAAACTCGAGAGCATCAGTGTCAAATCCCTACCGTTGAGCACAAGACATCATGCGCTGGCTTCCCCTGTTCGCCGTCGTCGCGGCCGATATCTGGTCTGCTGTGACAGCCAAACCTCTTCTGCCAACAGAGGACCCCTGGTATGACCAGCCAGCGAACATTGCCTCCTACGCGCCGGGCCAGACGATCCGTTCTCGCGAATTACCGGGCAAGTTGGCACCTTCCATCCCCCTCCCAGTCGATGTGTCGGTTGAATCTGTGCATCAGTATCTGTTCCGCACCACGGACAGTCTGGGAAACCCAATCGCCGCAGTGAATACGCTGATCCAGCCCCGTAATGCGGACCCCTCAAAACTACTTGCGTACGCGATATTCTACGACTCCTCCAACCCGGCCTGCGAGCCCTCCTATACGCTTCGGCCAGACTCGGATTCTGGCCTTGTCGGAATTCTCTCCCCTAACAGCACTCTAACACCCGATGCTGCGGTTGTAAGTTTAAGAGATTCAAGCTTTGGCCACTATATGCAGCGTGACTGACAAAACTCGCCAACTAATAGTTGACCGCCTCCCTGAATCAAGATGGTGGGTCGTGACCACAGACTACGAAGGAGTGAACGCCCACTTCTCGGCCGGTGTGATCTCCGGCCAGGCAACCTTGGACGGTGTCCGCGGGGCACTCATTGAAGCCCCCAAGCTCGGTCTGTCGAAGGACGCTCGCTACGCCATGTGGGGATACTCTGGCGGTTCGATCGCCGTCAACTACGCGGCAGAGTTGCAGCCAACCTACGCACCGGAGCTGAACTTCGCCGGTGCCGCCGCGGGAGGCAACATCGCCAATCTGAGCTCTACTCTCCAAAGAGTCACTGGCGGGCCGTTCGCGGGACTTGCCTTCGGCTCGATTGACGGTCTGTCCAAGGCCTACCCCAATGTCTCCGAGTGGCTCGACCGGTCTCTTGTTCCCGAGAAGCGAGCAGAGTTCAAGAACATTGCCAGCAGCTGCCTGATCGGTGAGGGTACTCAAGGGTTCCTCAAGGATGTCTACTCATTCTTCGTGAACGGCGAGGAGTCTTTCAATGAGGACGTTCCTCAGGATGTGATGCGTCTGGCTGGACAGATGGGTGTGCGCGGAACCCCCAAGATGCCCATGTACATCTATAAGCCCGTCCATGATGAGATCAGCCCCGGGGCAGACACTGATGAGCTGGTTGACACCTACTGCGCAAATGGTGCCACTGTTGAATACGACCGCGATCTGGTCGGTGGACATGGTAGTTTATGGGTGACTGGAACTACCAATGCCATGGGATGGATCGCCGATCGCCTTGATGGGAAGCCGGTTTCCCATCCTGGAGCATGTACGAAGCAGGATGTGATTTTGTCGGATCTGAATCCGGACATGTTCCACTTCTTTGGAAATCAAGTGTGGTCGCTGCTGAAGTGGACTTTGGGTGGCTTCTTGGGACCCCGGTGAAGGCTTGTTTTAGGATCTAAGTACGAAGATGGAATTTGTTTTAAGGTGGAGTGTTGTAATGATTCGATGTAATATTATAAGGGAAATATATATATAATCATGTGATTAGTAGCAGATGAGGAAAATCAACCATTATTATTGCACCTTAGTTGTTCCAGAACAAAGCTCTCAATCTCCACAATCCAGTAAAAACCAGATAGAAACTCAATAGATAAACAAACTAAATATCAGAATACGATAAAATAGGGCTGGAATTAGGTGTACTGTTCACGACCTTCGGCATGCAGATTTGGTGCCGAGGCCGAGGTCGGAATTACTCAGGATCCGAATCTTATCGTCTTTGCGACGGTGTCGGATCTTCGCATTCTTGGCATGGAGAGAATGTATTCATCCGCCGTCACTCCGCCATCATTCCCCTCCCCAGCTTGACCATGGGTAAAGCTACCAAATCGTACCAGTGCCAACGGTGCGAGAGGACCTTTGCCCGCTTAGAACATCTTCAACGCCATGATCGTTCACGTAAGCTGCCTCTCCCTTTGTGTCCGGTCAAGTTCCTCCATTAATAATGGCGACTAGACACGAAAGAGAAGCCGTATATCTGCGACAAATGTCCCAAATCATTTACGCGCAAGTATGTGACATATGGCTATACCCGCCTGAAATTCTGAAAGTATATACTCATCGCGAACAGAGATCTGCTGGCTCGTCATGAACGCTTGTCGCATAGTTCCCCGACATCCGGTGTGGGCCAAGATGCCACCACTCCGCCGCCATCTTCGCACCAGATGTTCAATGGGCTGAACATGCTTGCATCTGCTGTGACAAATCATTCCATGGATTCAACGGGTCAAGGGAATCATGGCCTTCTCTCCGGAGGGCCGGCGCCTTTCTCAGCGCAAGCCACGCCAACCGCCGAGTCCTCTGGATTTAGCGAACCATTTAGTGGATTTGGCCCGTCCACTGCATATGATGGCGAGGACTTCACCTCATTCCTCGACAGCATTCCGTTACCCACCCACCCATACTCCCCTAGTTATCAACCCCTTCCATTGTTTCCGCCGTTTCACTTTGACACCGCCCCTGTCTATGACCTACAGAAGGAGAACCCGGCCGAAAGTGCGGAAACCCCTTCAAGCTCCATTCTACCTCGGCACGGCACCCAAATACCCTCACTTCAAGCCGAAGAATCTCCGACAGCATACAGAGCACGACACCCTCCAACTTCACTGTCCATGACGACGCAATGTAGAGAGCGTATTGACGTTCTTCTCTCTGATTACTCCAATGTCATCCCGAACCCATACGTCCCGTCTCGGCATGCCCTCTCACGGTGTTTGACCGGTTACCTCACCGGCTACCACGAGCATTACCCCGTTCTACATGTTCCCACCCTGGATCTCGATTCCAAGTCCCTGCAATTCATTCTATCCATGGCTTGTCTGGGCGCCCGATATTGCCGGGAGCCGGAAACGAGCACTGCCCTCTACCAAGTCGCCAAGGCTGTGACACTCGAACATATCCGAAGAGAGTTCCAATGGGTAGAACCTAACAGTGGTATTAACCCAAACCGGCACACTGCGTCATCTCCGGCGGCCCGAGAACAGGATCTTCTAGAGACGCTACAAGCACTCTTGATGTTGGTATCCGTATCTTCCTGGCACGAACATGAGCCTCCGTACGAGGAATCGTTGTACATGCGGAGCTACATGGAAACGCTACTCCGACAGGGAGGACTGAATGACCTCCCCGCGCAAGACGGATCGTGGGAGAGCTGGGTACGGAGCGAAGAAACGAAGCGAACGCGACTTATTGTATTCTGCTATTTTAACATTCAGACGATTGTCTTCGATTTGCCGCCTATGATGCTCACCGAGGAGTGTACGCTTGACCTGCCGTGCACAGAAGTGGAATGGCAAGCTACAACTGCCGGCCAATGGATGGAGGAAAGGAGTCAGAGCCGAGGCGAACCAAAACTACAAGATGCGCTGGCCTCGCTCTTCAGCCAGAACCCGGAGATAAAAGGGCGACTAGAGAGCTTTTCTTCCTTGGGTGGCTACGTGCTTATCCACGCAATCATCCAGAGTATTTGGCTCATTCAGAAATCCCGTCGACTACCTGGCTTCAACAAAAACTCTCTGTCCCCGTCCGAAGTGACCTCGTTAGAACTCGCATTGGAACATTGGTGCCAATGCTGGGAGCGCAACCGGGAAGCATCCATCGACCCCTTCAACCCTCATGGCCCGTTATCTTTCACATCCGCTGCCCTCCTCCGATTAGCCTATATCCGGCTGAACGCGGACTTCAGTTCCGCGCGTCGGCTCCAAACCTGGAATCCAGAGGAGATCGCCCGGTCGTTGAAAGAGAATCTCAGTGTCGAGCGCAACGACCGGTTAACTCGCGCGGCGTTGCATTGTGCCCACGCGCTTAGCACTCCAATCAAACTAGGAATCAACTACGTCGCCCAGACGCAGGTGCACTCATGGTCGCTGCAGTACGCACTGTGTTCATTAGAATGTGCCGTTCTACTTGCTAAATGGCTCGAAGAAACGACCGTCGCAAGCCCCAACCCCAGTCTGACCGAACAGGAAAGCAAGCTTTTGGAGTTTGTCATCGAGATGGTGATGGAGACTCGACATGGAGTATCCCGGGAATGGCTCTTGGCCAATAATACCCGTCTGAGTGCCATTGTTACTCGGCTGTGGGCTCGACTGTTTACTGCCGATTATATCTGGGAATTGGTCAACTTGATGGGTCGAGCTTTGAATAGCTATGCGGATTTATTGGAGAGCATGCATTAGGGTTGGTTTCTGGTGATCACGAAATGGGCCCCGGCTTCTCTTCAAGCTGTTTTTGGCAAGGAGAGGCAACGTTCAGCGCTCAAGAATGGTCATCACCCAGCATTACATCCAGTGCAATGCGAATAATGAGATCCTGCTCATAGTATGCGACATCAAAATGTCGGGGCAAAGGACGTCCAGTCAAAGAATGCAAGAGGATCAAGATCCCAGGGCATTGGGGAATCTCCAAAATCGATCTGTGGGCCTGTATCCGGCAGGTCCATTAAACCAAGGTCAGATAGTCCCTCTCCTGGCTTCGCGCCTAAACATGATCGTCGGATCGACAATGCCTTCTGTCGAAGCCGACATAGAACGGCCCAATGAGGATTAGACTCCCGCCAGCCTGCATCGCGCTCTGTTAATTCGAAGCACGTATTAACGGCACTCCAGGCTCGCTCAACCCCGGGGGTCTCGGGACAGAGGCACAGATGCCACAGGGCATACGTGAGCAAATGGTACGGAGTGTAGGTTGAAGACAGCCAACTGTAGCTTTTCAGAACTTCGTCCGTGAGCATCTCCGATCCACATTCGAGGCCCTCGCATGCATATGATAGAGTCTCCTCGTTAATGTGCTTTGCAGATTGCTCCGCACTCAGATCATTGAGCGACTGGATGTGCACCAGAACCCTGGCCTTCGATAGGAGTAACCGGCCCAATAGAAACGTAGCTTTCTGGACTGGAACGTTCTGATCGCAATATTTCAGATACGTTTTACTCAAACGAGCGTCCAAATCGGCTACGAGCTTCCGGGACTCATTATGCACATCTCTACCACGTTGTGATTGTAACGAAACCCGGTGGATGCGCGCAAATACCTTACTCGCCTCTGCGGTGATCAAGAACATAGTCATCTCCGTCCACGTTTCTTTTGGAGACGGCGGAGTCTTCATCTGCGGACTAAGATCGCTGTCGTCGACGTTTAATGGCAGGTTCGTATTAGAGATAGTCTCAGACCCCCCGACGAGCCCGTGGTCTTCAGCCACTCGCCTATCGGCGGTTATAATATGCCACCACAGGCGACGCCGCAGCTCACATTCCAGAATCGGGAGACGGAAATTGCTTCCGTCGCGATGGAGCCCAATTGACTGAGCCGCGTATATCGTCAGCCCGTTCAAAACCCAGTTGGAGCGACCACTGCTATGGAACCGGCGGCACCGCTAGAACAGTTAGCCCGCACTTCCGGTCTCTTAGGATGGAAAAAGACCTTACGACATAGATAGCCATAGCCTGTAGCGAGGTCATGGTCGGCGAGTCCAGAAACGAAGAATTGTACAGCGAGACTTCCAATCCCCGTTGATATTTCTGCAGCGCCGCATGTTTCTGGCCGCCCAGAAAATCGCCTTCGTTGATAGATAGCAAGCTCGTGGTTGCAGCGAAGTAGATTGCGAATAGAAGCGCGCTAAGATCTGCTGGTACATCGCTTGGAGCATTAATGGCATTGTATACCTTTGGTAGTAGCGTGGGAATATGCACAACCCTCATGAGCGGATTCACGTTATTCAAATAGACCTGCCATAGCTGCGTTGCCTCCCATCGAGACGGGTATAACTCCGCCACGTCAGATATCGCGTGCTGCGGGTTTAGCAATAGCCCCTCTGCACGCAGAGGAGAGAATACAGTAGAACCACCACTGGCGCTCAGTGGAGACTCTATAACTGTCTGAAGCTCTTTTTCCTAGTACACAGTTATCAACACGAACATATGAACAGAAAGCATGGACCAACCTTTTCCAAAACATGCGACAGAAAGCTCTCATTAATATACCTCGCCGAAGGACCCGAAGTCACCAAGAAACCTTCTCTCGCTGCATAAGGATCCCTGACCTGTTGGTCAACAGCAGTCCGATCCGTAGAAGCCGGTCCTGAGCCTGATGAACTTGGAACTGTAATACCCTCATCCGCACCCACGATCGCCGAGACAGCCCGTTCCAAACGCGCCAACCGGGCCGCCACCTCATTCAGACCTACATTCGGAGCTCGGCGCTTGGTCTTCTCTGATCCCGGGTAGCGACAGGTCACATTGGACCGCGCGCATGTAGTACATGGGTGCGACTTATCGCAGCGCACCTTGCGCTGATGGCAGCGGATGCAGGATCGCGAGACGTTGTAGCGACGGAGGACCCTTGGTTCCTCGTAGGTATGATCTGAAGTATTTTCACTCTCCATATTTCAGATATACACGGGGCTGTTGTTATTCTAGACAGCAAATATACGCAAGTAATACAGGGTGGTTGGATGACAGGTAGGATATATCGGACGTTCGGCTGTTCGGTCGTTCGCGCTCGGCAGTTGAACGGCCGATTCCGATGAGCCAAACCAGAGCTTGTGTAGCAATTCATTCTCAAGTAGGGAAGCTGCAAGCCTACAAGATCAAAGTATTTGATATTATTCCATAAGTATATGGAATCGCTTAATCTCTGATACTCAGCCCTCCTCTGCCGTGTGGACAATCGAACCTATTGCTGCTTTTGTTTCTGTTGTATGTGAAAGCTGGACATGTGGTATGGTGGCTCCGACTTTGGGCTAGAATTGAATGCCAGTCGATATGTATCTATCTTCGACGGCATCACGCAGATCGGTGGAACATCTTAGACCTGCTACCCTGCGGAGTGGAGTAGAGTGCATAGCTGCATGTATCTTTTCCTCGTCTCAGGCCAGCTCTCTTTCCAGTACCTCCACGCCTGTCTAGAGCCATCGCGTTAGATATATGCCAGTGAACAAATAATAAAACAGACACATTATTTTCTTATGTTGTGCTCTAGCGATCATTCCACATTATTGCTCTGTCCTCCAAATCTAGTTCAACCGACAGAAAAGAAGGAGCATTAAACTCCCTTGCAAACGATATGTAATTAAGACCCAGTTTACATTTCAGACTGACAAAAATGTTGCTTTCGTGTTAACCACAGCTGGGTATTTCACGATTATGACAATCATCTCATCACATCCCAAGCCCAAAACCTCAACCAACCCGATGCCACTCAACATATCTTTCGCAACCAGTATGGCCAGACCAAAACGCCATTTCAAACTCATGCTGTGTGGGATTATCTCCCAAGCGCAGGGGCCATTTTGCAACAATGCTGTTATGAATCTTCATCCCCAGACCAAGAAGACGACCCATATCTCTGAACCGAGCACGCTCAACAAGCCTATTAAAGAGCGTGTCATTATCCGTAAATAAGTCTGCGGCACTCATCTGGTTGAGAAACTCGGCATTGTATTTATTCTTAGGGTCTCCATGCCTGGGTCTCATTGGCAGAAAGCGCTGTAGTGTTTCCATCGCGCGAGGCATAGAAGCGAGTTGATCAGCGGGGGTGGACATCTCTCTGGTGGCATTGAGGAAGAGCATGATTAGTGTAGCCTTGGGGTTTTCATTCCTGGCTTTGAGAAGGGGCCCGAATAAGGCGAGCGTTTTTGCTGGTCCCAGGTATCCAAGGTCGGCGATATTAGCAAGCTGCGAAGTGTAAGTCTCGACTCGATGATCGGTCAACGGAATGATAAGATGTATCTAACCTCGATTCTATCATAGAATGTTTCTCTTCCTCGGAGCGTGGCCAATTTGTCCGGCAAATCCATGGCGTCTTGCTTGAAGAGGCAGATGCTCAGCTTTAGGGTGTGTAGTCGTTCACAAAAGCTATGTAGATTCCGCTTAAGGCTCACATAAAGCTGGCCATATAAGTCGTGTTTAGCACCGTAAGAAGGTCGCAGGATTTCGGTGAGTGTCCACCCTTGAAGAGGATCTGCCGAATCGGGCATTGGCCATGGATGTTCGTTATGGAACAACGTGCTTCCTTTCATTAGCGGCTCCATTTCTCTTGCTCAAGGATGGATGGGTGCGTCAGTACTTACGGGTTAGGAACCCTAAAGTCTTCACGGGATGCCCCAAATGGAAGTAATATCCCATCGCTCCGGAATTTCCACAAAGAAAGACGCCATGAAGGATGCAGCGGAAACAGAGCTCTGTCCCGATAATCTCGTCGACTATGGGCAAGGGTGATCGACTCATGGAGAGCAGCAGCTTTCTCATAGGAGATATCTGGTGCTTCTGGGAGGTAAGAGAGAACTCTATCCCACTCAGTTCTGCTAAGGGCTGCGGAGAGTGTACTACTCCTACATGACCACATTTTCTGTAGGACACTCGCAGCCTGCACTGGATCTGCTGCCAAGAACTCACTTATAGCCGGAAAGACCGCCCCTCGGACTGATTGCAGAAGGGACTCTGGCAGAAAGGCTGAGTACCATAAGTGTAAGATTGCTACGCTGGCAACATCAGGGGGTAGGTGGAACGCCACCAGGAGGAATACCAGGTTTCGCGCTACGACCGTCTCGTCCCGGTCGTTGATATCAATATGGATGCGTCCGCGGTAACTACCCGGGAGAGAAACAATTGTTTTGACTAGATTCCTCAAGTCTCCAGAAGCTATAAGATATTAGAGACGCGAGGGTCCACAGGGCCTCTTGATTCTCATACCTGCGAGAAGAAGGGAGAGATCCCGAGAATAGTCCTCGCCCTCATTATCCTTCAATTGCAGTAGGTCGAAGGCCGGGACATTACCCCATAGATATTTGCTTCCTCCATGCATCGCAACCGGGGTGTGCTCTTCATCTGAGTTATCTATGAAGTGTGGCACACGGTTTTCGACTTCCCATGCTGGGCGCCAGGCGGCTTTTCGCATGGGATTCTTACAGTCGAGCTTGTGGACTGGCCAATGAGCAGTCTGACAATCCTTGCCGCAGTACTTTTGCCCTGGTTAACTCTTTCCATGGAACAGACCGTTTGACGTGGGCTACTTACCATCACTAGGTGGCAACCGGTACAACCCTTAGTGCCGGCTCCGAGACACCTAGTAGCACTATGATCTTGTCTCCAGTTTGCACACAGGAAGGGTTGCATCTTGCCACCAATAGACAAAAACTATCTAACCTCGATCAACTTTCAAAAGCTTTCTTTAATAAAAAGCAAATTAAGGTCCCTGAATAGGGTGGTGCACACAAAAGCAGTAGATAAGAGTAAGGTTCGAGAAACGTTGAGCACAAGTCCTCCAGATGGTAGTTCAATCATCGAATATGACATATCCTAAATAGAGGAGGGGTAATCATGTCTCTTTATCCAAAGCCGCACACTATTGGTGACTCGGTTGCTTTGGCTACGGCAAGGCTGGCCTTTATGCAGTCTAAGATGCAGCAACTTGCCTACAATTTGGATCAACGTGGCTCTGTCCTCCGTACTTGCCCTGATATTTATTCACCAAGAATCCAATAAAATCAAAATCAGGGCAGAACATGACGGGGACATTCTATGCACTACTCATAGTCAGTCACTCCTCACGGAATTCACCTCCACACCAGTCCACCAATCATGGCCTATGGTCAAACCTGTTCGATCCATAAATCCTGTACTTCTTTCTTCCATATTGAGTGAAAAGTGGCCGCGGAACAGATTGACTGTTCAAGCACAGATATAGAGTAGCACGTGACCGGGCCCTAGGCTGCCATTTGACCCGCCTCAGGCGCTATACCAGGCCGTTGCCTGATTGGCGGCTGGTACATTTTTCTATAAAGTTTTAAAACACACCACATACTTTCAAAATTCATTCATTCTCCAAATACTCTCACCATGGACAGGCTTCCGATTGAGATCTTGCTGAGAATCTTCAGCTATCTACAACCGAAGCTTGGTTCAGTCCTCCGAGTGAACAGCCAGTGGTTCAACTGTGGTATTTCGCTCATATGGCGGGAAGCATTCTGGTTCCATCTGTCTCGGATCCCAAAAGATCGACGGATACTGTATACTGCTGCAATTGGAAAGCTCTTTCTCTGGGAGGGTGCCACAGAGGAGATAGAGGAGTTCAGTCATTTTGCCTACCCTAGGTTGAAGCATCTAAGTATCGGCTCAAATCCGTCCGCCAAGGTGGACATCGCTTGGCTCAAACGGTATATGCATGCAGGACTGCAATCGATTGAATTCACAGGAGACTTCGATCCAGAGCTACTGCTGCACCTTCAGAGGAACTGTCGCCAACTGAAGGAAATATCAATCAGTACGCCGGGCGATCGACTTACGGGAGAGATATTTCACCGCTTCCTCCAAAACAGTCCTGTCACTAAAGTCTCCCTGGACGGAAACAACGTTAAACCATTATTTGCTAACGTCATTCTCAATCATCTCTCCAATCACGACAACTTGGAAGAGCTATCTCTTGGTTATACTATCGACAAATTACCGAGCAATATCAAAAGCTTAGAAGCCGTCCAATCGCTTCGAAAGCTCTCCGCTAAAATTACACACGATTTATTTCCCAGCTTTATCTCCAGCTTCACGTCTTTACATGAACTCAATTTGAGCGTGGAGGGGGAGCCAAAATCACGACTTACTTCCATCGACTTCAAACACCTTTCAAAACTCACCCAACTCCGCTCACTCCAAATATCTTTAGATGGCAAGATGGAGGTTCATAAAGAAGACCTTCTATTCCTCAAGAACCTGAAGCACCTAACCAAACTACAACTTACGGGCACGATCCCAACGGCCCTCATGGCAGCCGGATTCAACGACGTCGATTTCGAGGACCTGGTTGCAGACCTGCCCAATCTGCGAGTACTCACGTTACACCTATACCAGTTGCCCGTGAATATACACAGCCTAGCAGCTCTCAGCCAATCTTGCCCGTTACTGGAATGTTGTGATCTCATGGGAAGCTTTAACATAGCACAGCTGAAGGAGTACCAGGCACCGCTTTTCCCCAAACTTCTTTCGCTCCGTATCAAGTGTTTCAACAGGCAGACTATTGATCGTACCGGTGCAATACTACCCGTGGGGAGAGGAATTGGGTAAGTACTGGTATATTATACTATTTCTACGCAATTCCGCTGACTCTCTGTCTCCAAAAGTCCCGAAAAGTACGTCGTGCAGCTGGAAGCACACTTTCCGAAATTGCAGGACATTACGCTCACCAACTCAAATCTTATGGACATCGCCCACTCGGAGGTAATGTTCTCGGACAGTGTTCTGCATGGATGGAGGGCCAGGCAGCACGAGCGAGAACAGAGCGTTCTGAAGAGCTATCGCTAGGGAATCAAGTCTCCTGTTGAATATGTATCTTTTCTTGTGTGTATATATACCACGAATCTCGTGATGGGACATATTTGATGCCTGTGTATTTGTCTATCCGATCTATTGATTGCACCGGAGATGGGTTTTGGAGATTACCCTCTCGCTATTAAGAGCGCATTAGCGTAGCTAAATCTAAACATCTGCTTGTACGGAAGGCTCAGATTTTGGTTGCATCGTAGCCACTTTTGACCCAAAGAACGGCCGACATGTTGCTAGGCAAGAAAGTGGGCTGGGAGCAGTAACTAGGTAGGTCGCGTTGTTGCTATGCCTTACTTGCATCTCATATGTGTATCCTATTCCAGGGCTCAGTCGTACTATCTAAGTTCAATTTACAGTATTAGCCCCATTGCTGATGGTGTCAAACTAATGCTCGCAATGGTACCAAGAGGCTTATGCTCAGCAACAGTAACCTATGATCAAAAAGAAACAGCCATATAAGTAAATATCCAATTGATAATCCCGCAACAGATATTCATTTATTAACTCTGCGATATTGCTTATCCCGAAAACCAAACAGATCTGCGTAATGTTCTAACAAAGTATCATCAACAACGCCAATACTCTGTCTATTGCACCATATCCTATTCAACGCCAGAGGATATCTAAAAATTAAAGTACGAGCCGGGGCCCGTGGTACTTCTTCTGCTCCGTAGCAAAAGCAGTGATGGAATCCTTCGTCCGCTTAGGGAAACCTTCAAAAGATCTAGCATAGGTGGCAACTGAGTGGGCGACAAGCTGAAACAAAAGTCCAGGTTAGTAGAATGTCAAATAACAGTAAAGCCTTTACCTGGATTGAGCGCTCTTACCTTGGTGTTCCACTCCCATGCTGTTAAATTCACATTGCCGACAACATCACAAATCTGGTGATAGCATGGGTCATACCAGGCGCCGGCAACGCCGCCGAACATCTCCTGCTCCTCCGGTGTCTTGATACCCTCGGCTCCAGTGGCGATACCGCCTCCTGGAATGCCGTGACGGATAAACGCGTCGTAGTCGCTGCGGCCATCAAATGGAATGAAGGTGTGATTGAGGTCGTGGGCATCATAAAAATCGACGTACAAGTCGCGCAGCTCCTCAGATCCGACCGGGTTCACCGCATTGGTGGCGTTGTAAACCTGGTACGCAAAGTTCGGGGAACCAAGCATATCGTAGTCCATGAACAAACGGATCTTCAGGTTCTCCTCGGGAGTGAGAACGGAAACATAGTAGTCCGATCCAAGGAGGCCTTCCTCTTCACCTGCCCACCATGCGAATCGCACACAGTTGTTCACCCGGTATTGAGTCAGCAGGGTCGCGAGCTCCAGGAGTGTCAAGCTACCAGAGCCATCGTCGTTGATGCCTGGTCCTTCGGCAACGCTGTCACTGTGGCCACCGAGCATCACACAGTTCTCGGGATCGCCCTCGGTCGTCTGAGCGATGATGTTGGTCGTATGAATGGTCTCGACAATGGCATCCATGTAGGCGATACCATCGACCTCCTCGCCCTTCTTTAGTTTCTCCAAGATGGGCGCAGCATCTTCATCAGAAAGACCCCAGGTAGCAACATGGTCCGGTGTGGGGTTACCCAGCGTTCCACTCAGGCTACCTGGTTCATTGTTGTATACCACGGCCGCAACAGCGCCGGCTTTTCCAGCCAAATCCGACTTCGTACCGAACGGACAGGTGCCACGGCTAATGAGCGCAATGGCGCCAGACACATCAGAAGGAAAGTCTGACGCGTCACATCCGAAGTTGGAAACCGCTACCAGGGGTGCATGTACGGGCTGTTTGTGCTTGGTAGGGGGGGTCAATCCCATGGGTGCCGCCGATTTCGGTACATCGTTGCCGAGGACTAGGCGGGATTCGAAAACATTGCCTGTGACGGCAGCGAAGGACTGATTGGTGATGGTGTAGTAATCGCCCAGCTTATCAAGCGTTGAGTAGATATAGTCAATGGTTCCGAGGTGCCCTAAGGGTGTCTATGGGTCAGCAACTAGGGGCGGATTGCATAGTTCAACTACCTACCTTTGCTTCCAATGACTCGAGTCGGGTGGTTGTATTCTTCCTCTCCTAAGTCCGCGATCTTGGATAGTTCTTTGGCTCTCTTCAACAGGTTCTCGGCTTTGACGTGACTTTGGAACGCAGAGGAGCTGACCAGCTCCTTGTCGGAGGTGATGGGAACCTGAGATTGCAACAGGGGAAGTTGGACTGCGCCTACTTCACCGAGAAGGAGGGTAGCAATTGCTACCTCTGGAAGCTGTAGTCGCATGATGATACAGTGTGGAGGTCGAGATGGAGATACTGGAATCAATGGGGAGCTGTTGACGTGAGTCAGTCAGTTTGGAGGAGATGGAGTCCCCGGTTTGTTTATCCGAGAGGCTGGGGCTGATCCATCACATCACGCGATAAGCGATAAGATAACCGCCATCTTCAAACGTTGACATAAGATTGAGTCCTTCAATAAACATTTCAAACATGATGCGACTTAAAATACCAATTATATATTAATCGTTTATTTGAATGATCGGAACGAACGTATATAATTTTGTGCGAAAGCCAATTAGACCTAGAATCTGTAGGGAAATATATCTCTTTGTAGAACTGCTATCGTTGTCATTAGCGTCACTATATATTTGCTGTGAACTAGTGCCATCCTAGTCCAGTGTGCATAACGCATGAATAAATCAAAGCATGTCACAACAACACTTTAGTCGGTTTTTATGCCTAGGTATATCCAATTTACAATTTAATATGCCAGGCTTCTGGGGTCTGGCCTCAGGCTAAATTGTACCCTAGGCCCACGAACTTGTGGGCCGGAGAAACAAACCTGGCCCCATGGCGAGGCCCATGCGTCTGCCATGTGGAGTTGTGTTGTATCCGAGGTACTGTGTAAGCCTGTAAGGTACGCCGGAAATGCTGTAGCCGAGTCTCACCTACCTTACAGCCTCATCACTGTTACGGCGTAGAGGGGACGTGGGTATTGTGGGGAATAGGGATCAAGGATGACAAGTTGTGCTTGCTCCACTTCCAAGTTCGAGGAGCACAGCCCACCCATGTCGGAGTTCAGTTACGCTGCAGGGTAAGATTTTACTTGACCCCTTGTTACTCTGCGCTTTATGATAGGCCTTAATGACCGAATCAAATACCCCATCGCACCACGGAAAGGGGTCCAACTTTCATGACATATATTGATGGCTATTAGTGGATGTTATAAGACGCCGGTCTTTTAGTCCCTGAAGAGGAAACAAACAAAGGGAAAAGTCCAAATGAAAGCTAACTGGAAGAAGAAAAATGCCTGGTCGACGCACTCTCCAGCAAAATACTAGTAGTTTCGGGTATGGCTGGGTAAGCAAGGCTGGGTATGATTTAATAAATAATACCCTGCATAATATTTTATATTTTTCTTTCATCTTTTCGATGTTTTCACAGACAAGATGCACTTATCGCTAAGGCTTCTGAGGCTGTCCTCCGTCCTCGAGTCTTACACATGCCGCGTGTTCCTATTCTTTTTAATTCCTTATGCACTTCTAGTATACTTGGCGCGTATAGCTAGTTGGCGTGACCCGACGTCACTGTTCTTCCGAGAAAATGAAGCCTACGAGCTTCGTATTCTAGTCCACGTGCGGTGGAGGGCATGGCGTTGATCAACGAAGCTAACAATGTGACGGAAACTCCCCGCCCCAAGGCATCTGCGAACCCTACCATGTGTGTAGGATTTGCCTCTATTGCGCGGGAGGGTGTAAGCTATTTTCAGAGTGCAGTTGGATCGGTGTTGGCAGGCCTTTCTCCGGTAGAGAGAGCCGATTTGTTTCTCATCCTATTCATTGCTCATACAGATCCCACGCAGCACCCAGCCTACTCAGAGCCATGGCTGCATGAGCTGGCTGACAAAGTTCTGCTCTATGATGAGAAAGACGTCGACATTGAGCACATCCGAGGTCTTGAAACAACTGAGGCCAAAACTTTAGCTCTCGAGAAAGGCTTACTGGACTACACTTATCTTTTGAAAGCATGTGCAGCCATTGGCACCCCGTACACAGTTATGCTTGAGGATGATATCATTGCTCTGGATGGTTGGTATCACCGAACAAAACAGGCCTTGCGTGCTGTGGAGCGACAAACAGCGGAGAAGAAAGCATCGAAATGTAAGTGCTGAATCAAGATCACTCTGCCGCTTACACAATTCCTGGGTGTGGAGACTGATATAAGTTGCACTTCTGAAGGGCTTTATCTTCGCCTTTTTTACACCGAGAACTTCCTAGGCTGGAACTCAGAGGATTGGCCTACCTATCTATTCTACTCTCTTCTCTCAGCGTCCACCATCTTACTCACGACCTTGATCGTCCGCCGTTATCGACCGTCTTCGAAGCCATTTTTACCGAAAGAAACAGTCTTTGTTCTCTGCTTCATTTGTACACCTCTCCTGATCATCCTCTTCTTTGCGACCGGGCGAGTCACAATGCTACCGATCCCCGAAGGCGTGCATGAGATGCCAAAATTCGGTTGCTGTTCCCAGGGGCTCGTTTTTCCTCAAGGTCGTATCATGGATCTAGTATCGTGGTACGAGTCCAAAGGAATCGGCTATGTCGACATGCTTACGGAAGATTATGCGAATCAGAACGGGGAGATACGCTGGGCATTAACACCCAGTGTATTGCAGCACGTCGGGAGCAAGAGCTCCAAAACCAACAACCCTATCCCGCAGAAGGGCCTCCGCACGATCCCTGAAACATTGTGGAATTTCGGGTTTGAGAAAAACGATGTGAATCTTCTACGCAAAGAACATGAACAACAGATAAGATGGGGTGATCCATGATTGGATGTGTAATTGGAACGTCGCAATATCTCAATAAAGATGTATAGCCATATTCAACTGCCTGCGATTCTTTACTAAACCTATCTCTCCGTAGCAGAAGCCTACTCGGAACCAAATACGCCATCCGAGACAATGATGGCAATGACAGTAACCTTGTATGGATCAGTACCGTCGATTGACAGGAGAGCTGCATTAAAAGGGGTCTTACTAATGATAAATCCACACCTGGAGTAACGATGATATCAAGAGCCGGTCGATAATTGCGACGTGTACTTGGCGGCAAGGCTAGTTTCTGGTTATGATGTACACTCTCGCGCACTTCAGTGACCTTCATATCTCCATCCACGACATCAAAGGACTCCAATACACGTCCATGTCTTTCTATCTCCAGCGTGACCTCTTTATCATGCACTGGACCTTTCAAATCAGTCGCAGCTACATTAGTAAACGTGAACAGGAAGCTCCCGAACGGAGCCAGTCGCGGTGCGCCAGTGGCTATACTGTCAGCAGTTGGGGTCTCCGGCAGTGTGATACACCAAGCATTTCGAAATGAGATCTTCCTGTGAAGGTCGAACAAGGGTAGACCTGAAGCATCACGAAATTCTCGACATGAGCGACCGTTGAATTTCCGACCACTGTCAGTGAATCGTGTAACCCGGTTTTCGTCCTGTACTTTGTAAGCAGCCACGGACTGGGCGTCGCCCTGGGGTCTGAGAGTCAGCAGTGTCTTCGAGTCATTTATATAATGTTCTCGGATCGCGATTGGGCGAGCAGGAGCTTTTAGGACCTTGCGAGGCTGAGAGGATATCGCATGGTCCATGCGTGCTTGGATGTATGCTGCAGACATTGTAGCGAGACCCTGGTATTTCTCTTGGTGGTGAGGTATGCTCGACAGAGGGCAGGCTTAGGAGTACAAAGGATACGTGATTGTACAATTATACGCTGACGAACCATGGTGAATGAAGGGTACAACGAGATACAAAACAGGGACCTAGAATATGATGGCTTTGCAACCCGTCGCAAGGCTTGCTGACATCTAGCCCTTCCTCCTGTCCTACTGTATACACAGAAGGCAATGGACTCAGACTAGAAAGTCCAAACTTAATTCGCGCGATTTCTGTACAGCCTCAGTTATACGTTCAGGAAGAAACTTGGTCCTACATAAATACATCCTACCTTGTCGTCTGTATACCAATCCGGCCTCAAGAGGGGGTCGCCCGACCCATTCATCCTGCTTTCAATGATGAGTATGTACCACAGGGTTCGTTCTGGTAATAGCTTCTACCACCATTACCTATGTTGGCTGCTTCTGTCCCAAACTGCCTGTGTATCCTCTTTGCATCCTCCGTTGCACAAAGGGGCATAAAAATACAAAAAAATGTTACTTGACTTGCGTCATGTAGCGGCTTAGTAGCATTTCCGTCTCATTTCTCGGACACCTCGCTCAATCTGGTCAAGTTTGCGTGAATTTGTGATTCACTAGACATGTCCTAGGAACGTAATCGTTCCTTAGTCTACCATGGCGTTGAGTCATTGGCTTGGGTATGTATAGTACAAGGCCTCCTGAACCTCTCGAAAAATGCCCCAACTCAGATACACGGATGGTATGACAATGAGAGGCTTTGCAGTATCTGTAGCACATACTCTGACTGTTCCTAACCTGGCGAGGCGCAGCACTGCAATTGAAGCAATATCGTGGCCTGCGGAGGTAGGGTCTTCATTTAGCATTTTAGCAGTTGAGTATGCAGGACGATCTAGTTCAGTTGACAAGAAAGGAAAATCTCAGTACTTATTTAACAAAGACTAAAACTTTAAACAAAAGAAGGACCTCGAAAGATACAATATAAGTGTAGATAGACTAGAAAAAGACAATCTGACAAAAAGAATGACCGACGCAGGGATCGAACCTGCAATCTCTTGATTCGTAGTCAAGCGCCTTGCCATTGGGCCAGCCGGCCGGCTGTTGAAATACTTGTAATTATTTTGGCACATGAGTAGAAAGTACCGATAGACCGATCGGCCGAGCGATGATCCACCATCCCCGCAGTCCCCTGTAACACCGCTTTCCCTATTTGATATGATGCGATGCCAAATTCGGTTGGCGGTCTATTTGTGCCCCGCCTTTTGACAAAGTGGGGGAATTTTGAGATCATGTCCATATCCTATCAACAATCCCCTCTACTATTGTGAAAGAATAGCTGAATTAATCGCCCGTTTAAAAATGCCTTCTCTTCAAGATAGCAAGCTTGCCTTTATCGGCGGTGGCAACATGGCCTCCGCCATCATTGGAGGTCTCCTCAACAAGGGCGTCCAAAAACAAAACATCTGGGTTTCCGAGCCTTGGGATGTCAACCGCGAGAAGATGGCGGCCCTGGGGGTGCAGACCACCACTGTGAATGTTGAAGCTGCAAAGGATGCGAATCTTGTTATCATCGCAGTCAAGCCACAGGTTACCAAGGGTGTGTGCGAGGAATTGGGCGCTGCGTGGTCAGGACGTACAACCCTGCCCGTTGTCGTCAGCATTGCTGCAGGAATCACCCTTGATAGCTTGGTCCAATGGCTCCGCACAAGCGACGGACGCAACGCACATGTTGTCCGTGTTATGCCAAACACACCAGCGCTCGTGGGTGAGGGTGCTTCCGGTCTGTATGCCAGCAAGGATGTGACCTCGGAAGAGAAGGAGCTCGTCAATGCTGTTCTTGGAAGTGTCAGCAAGGCCACCGAGTGGGTGGATAAGGAGGAATTGCTCGATGTCGTCACTGGACTTTCTGGTAAGTTCTGCTCGTAAATTCCTACCCCGAGAGGACGCGCATTGACAAGGTTTAGGATCCGGTCCCGCTTACTTTTTCGCCATGGTGGAACATCTGATTGCCAGTGCAACCGCCCTTGGTCTCTCCGAAGAACAGGCTACTCGGTTGGCTTCCCAGACATGTCTCGGCGCCGGCAAGATGCTTGTCGACTCGTCGGATAGCCCCACCCAGCTGCGCAAGAACGTTACCAGCCCGAATGGAACCACCTATGCTGCCCTTCAGACATTTGAGTCGCTGGGCTTTAAAGACACTGTTGATAAGGCTGTCAACGCTGCTACCTCCCGAGCAGCTGAGTTGGGAAACACTCTTGGCAAGCAATAAACAGAAGAAAATTGCCGTGAGGGAAGTTAGTATAGGGAAAAGTGTCCAACGTACCTTGTATGTATCAAAACCTCGAGAAATTGATAAGGCCCTGACAATTTAGTATTTGCTAGGATCATGTAATCCTCTGTCACCATCAGCGTATGCATAGAATACTACAGAGCCTATGAGAGCCTGTACTGTATGAAAATCAAGCAATTATGTTCTTTCCTAGTAGACTCCCATAATGTGCAAGACAGATAAAGACGTCGACGTATACAAATGGTCACAATTCCATCAGCAACCGTTGCATTGAGGCCAGCAATGACGGCTGTATGCTTGCAAGAAGGGCCTAGGAGAAGGGTTTCCTAAGGCTTTAACAGCCGTAGCCCCAAACCCTGCTTCAGTAATTAACCCTACTTTGCTGGGGTTGTCCCTTCGTTTGGAGTTTAATATGACGACAACTGCCTGCTCCAGACGGTCCCACTGGCACTGATAATCTGATAACACCCCTCACAGGAATGAATCATCTTTACAAGGCTGCAGTGATAAATGCTAGAGCCGGTCTTCATTCTGCATGGCTATTAATTTATCCGATCCAAGGGATGCGGCGAATAATCTTCGAGAGCCAATTCGGGTCACTAGTACCATAAATTGGCCGATCTAGAACTTACATACCAGTCTCGTGTGAGTGCTATATCTCGTGAACAAACAAGAACAATTGCCCCCCTCTATCCCGAATAACCTGTTGTAGGGCATGACAGATCCTCACTTAATACAAGCCGGTAGAATGTACCTGAAACTGAGGAGGTGGGCCTGGACCCCATTGCCGAGCCCATACGGCAAAAGCTCCATGATAAAAGAACTCACGTTGTTGATCAACTTATCTACTAGTAGATTCATAGGCCAGGTAGCCTTCGGTTCGAACGCTGAAACAATGGCAGCTACTCCGTTCTCTAAGTGAGCTGGCATAGCGACGGCATCCCATACTAAGTAGTTTATCGTATGATAAGAAAGGTGTCAGTTTTCAGATTTCTGTTTCATGTCAGTCTGACAATTTGTAGAGTTTGAGCCAGGAGTACATACAATCAGTGCTCGGGAGTCGAAAACCAGTCAATTTCTCCTTTAGTGGATACAAAAGAATAAATACTGCGGCGTTGCAGTTCCACTTGACTACCATCAATAACTTGCATGGGATTATAACGCAACCAACAATGAAGCCTTTTCTACTTCGTGCTTCGCTACTCGCCAGTCGTGCCCTTGGATCCAACTCGTCATCCAAGGTGTATGGAATACCTGCTGGTTTGCCTATAGTGTCACAGGAGGCGGAAATGTGACACCAGCTATTCCAGCTAATGTGACTCAACTACACGACTGGCTTACGGATAACAAGCTTCATGTCATTGTGCTTGACAAGGAGTACAACTTTATAGGTAGCGAAGGCTACTGCGAGAATTGTGCTTGCTGTGTCTTCAACACTGACACCTGTGGTGAGGGTGGCCAGGATGCGATCGAAACTGATTTTGGTTGGTGTGGAGATAGGACTCCAGTCGATTGCACCTATCCCAATACGACGACGATTGACGTGGCATCGAATAAAACAATCGTGGGGCTTGGATCCAAAGGTGTTATCCGAGGCAACGGACTACGATTTGTGAACGACGCCTCAAATATCATCGTTCAGAATATATCCATACCACGGAGAATAATCCGGGATATGTCTGGGGTGGAGATGCGATATACATGAACGGTTGTGATTTGATTTGGATTGACCATGTAAAGATTTCGCTGGTTGGACGCCAGATGATATCTATGGGATATGAATCCACTGAGTTACCTTGGATTATGTGAACCTGGGTATATTGTCGAAGAGGACTGACCAAGTACTGTCAGGAAAGGAAGGAGGGAAGGGGGGAGTAGTATTATCAAATAGCTCAATTAGTTAGGACTTAACTAAGATCATCAATCTACCAGTTCGCACCGCACCGATTAGTTCTGGTGGGATACTTATCTACTTGCATATCTATATCGGTCCAATCTGATCGATTCCCTACATAGCGTCCCAGGTAAGAACACCTAAGCTCGAGGTTAGTGGTAAACGAGCACTGTGAAAAGATACCCCAAAGAACCGGGGTGAGGTGCATCACAGTGGTTCTTGGAAAGGGTCAGACCAATCAAATATCCGGTTTATAATCATCAGTGCCAAGTTTCCCGAGCCGAGAAGCCTGCGAAAGGCAATTAATTGTCGTATTCAACCCCTACGTAAGTGGAGGCTTAGTGCTGTCCTACATAAAATGACCATTTATATGCGGTTGTGGCTTGGAGTTGGGCTGTGTAATCAGAATAAGCACGGTTAACCTGGCGTTCTAGGTAAAGCAATAGCCAATTCATGTATTGGAAGCCACAGTGTCGGAAGGAAGACGCCGTATAGCCTACTCGGTATATCGAGGATATCTTATTTCAGAGCTGGGCTCGGGTTAGCAGGGTGGTTTTCGCCCCGAGCTAGATAAGACACAGGCCCAGAATGGCCAAAAGGTTCACTTTTGACATTTTACACAGCTATGATAATGTCAGAGCCCAATTGGCAAGCACTTATAATTTGTGGATAATGGTGACTATGGAGTAGGCTTTCTCATGCATGGTGTTCAAGTTTACTGAAAACCATCTCACGGTAGGGGATCTTCAGCCCACTCAACAGTGCTCTGGATTAGAGACAGCTACCATTCTTGACGTGAAGCCGTAGAGTTGCACAACTGGATGATTATACCCCGATGTCTTGTTGATTTGAGACTCAACCCAGAATAATAATGTATAGAACTTTTAATATTTCCAAAACGATGAAAACAGCCACCGTTAGCTTGCCCGATAATATAACCAGTCGTAAAGACATTCTTAAAACCCTGAGACTATTATAAGTGGGAACGCTAAGTCAATACAATAATAGGCCTCATGATCTAGAATAGAGGCATATAATGCAGCCTCTGGCATCTGAGGTTGGCAGTACTCCAAGGAACAGCGCTACAGCCCTACTTCATCACTTGATAAATGTTAGCTCCTTTTGCTTTTTATGTTCAACAAAGGTTGAACTTAAGGGTCCATTCCTCTTATTTCTCAAAAAATGTTTCATCCCTAACCTGGAGTGAATTATATTTTGGTATATCATTCGTAGAGATTGGGTCATCCAGAGCGAGGATTCGGATGGCATATCTACGACTACATTTAACGTACAGTGCAAAGTGTATCTCGTATATTGTCGGAAGTCTTCCGCACGCTAATGCTAGCGCGACTATAAATAACTGTCGTTCAGTTTAGTGAACTGACAGACTTGGCATTAAGCATCTGCTGAACATCAACCATATGCTCGCCTGCACAGAACCACAAATACTAGACCGAGCGTAGTTGAATCTCATGAGACTTGAAGCGCACCTAACAAAATGCCCACTTCCATTTTAGACCTACCGCGCGAGCTTCTAGACCGAATTGTTGAGCTCGTGTTGCGCTACGAAACCCCGCCCCCTGAAGGTCCCCTACCCCAATGGCAAAACTATGAGCCTTGGTCCCGTGAGGCTGGGGGCGTTCTTTCATCAGACGACGGCGTTTACAGCGTCAGATACTGGAGGAATCAGGAGAAATATCATGATGCTTGGCAATCCAACCCTTTATCCCTTCTGCTTGTCAATCGTCAGATTGGCGAAATAACGAAGAGAAGACTGGATAATGCACTTACGCCTTCCGTGTTCGAGCTCGATGTGATCATGAGCGAGGAACAGGAGCTACATCCAAGATGGTGTTTTCTTTCAAACCCATGTCGCCATGTTGGGGATTTCACAGTGACGTTTAGGGCCGATGGTACCAGTCCAACTCCAGCTTGGCGTCGATACTACCTTCTACCTGACGGCGACTCTCCGCCTCGAATCCTTTGGGCCTTCTACTATTTGCTGGAACGCTTCCTGGAAGTTGGCCCCTTGGCTGAGCACAGAAGACCGAATGATGAACCGCGTACGGACGATATGTTCTTCAGGATCAACCGGTTAACCTTAGACTTTGTCTCACCAGCTAAGAAGGAAATGCTAGCACCTGCCGATCTGAGCTTCTGGGCCTGGTTAAATGGGGGCGTCGATGAAGACGACCCAGAATCATCAACATCACCCTGTACAGGGGCTTTCAACTTGCTCATGCGACCAGAATGGCTGGCTGAATTTATCAGTGAATATATTGGGTATCTTCTCGGTATGAGTATACCTATGGCACCATACGGAAAGATGTTGTATGAATATGTGGGAAGTATCAGGATCTGCGTCGATGGAAAATTGATAAAGGAGTATCGAATCGACTATAGGCTACAGGATCTGAATTATGTAGGCCTCGAAGAAGATTGCAAAAGGTATTGGGATTTCCGACGGTGGAAAGAGAAGGTGTATCGTATGCGTCAAGAAGCTGGCCTTCCTGTTGTTCTGTGATGAATATTGGTCTGTACTTTCCTTGATCGTTGGTATAAATTCTCCTTTTATGGTTGCCATTGGGAGATCAACTATCATATAGCATATGTTCCTGTCGGCTAAATTTGTTACAGCTATCAAGGAGCAATTATATTGACTAGTGCCCAAGGGAGAGATGGTTAGAGACTCCCAAATTGCATAAATTAGGTCTTTGGCCTAGCGCACAAAAGCTAATGCCCGCTCAAGTGTCTATGGTGGAGTCCTTGTAGTTCATTACAGTAGCAGGAAATCCCCGTACGTGCTCCGCTCCGTCACACAAGCATTTGTCACATACCTCAAGAAAGCTATGTTCGTACAATCTAGACGTACATTAGAAAATGGTTTCTGGAGGGCCTGATAAGTCACGTGATAAACGTCGACTGCCTTGTAGTGTCAAATAGATGCCATCATCTCTTTTCCCGAACTCACCGCCCATTTGGTGATATAGACGACACCATGCTTTCCTATCTGCTTTCGTGGATGACGGTGGAAAATCGCTTCACCAGCACCTCGCCCCTTCCTCCGTCTATCCCCCCCGAAAGAGTTATCGAGGTACTCCACGACCATGTGACGATGATAAAACTGAATCCCTTGGTCATTGATCTCCAAAGATGCGAGCCTCACGAGGATGCCCCTGCGACCGAGCGTGATCTTTTCTGGTACGAGATAACCGATAAGGTATCCTATCTACCATTCGGGCTTCTTTCAGGCAAGGTCAAATATAAGGGTTGCTTTAAGGACGTTCCGACGGGCCTACAGACCCATATTTACGCTCCCTTGGGGCTACGTACCAAGAATACGTGGACCGTTGAGGGTCAGATGGTCTGTCACTCACAAAGACTTTAAAGAACTAATGAACTAACGATGTGCAGGATGAACCTCAATTGAAAGAAGATGTTTTTATGACATGTAACATCCTGATGGCACCGTTCGTAAAGGCAACAATCAAGTCTTCCCACGGTCCTTTGGTAGAACGGCTGATCATGGAAGCGGAGTTACCAGACGGAGATCGGAAGTCATCTGTAGGAGAGCATGTGGAAAGACAGGCAGATCGGTCAGCTCTTTACAAAAGAAAGTAGCTTTGACTGAAATACCCATCCGTACAAAGGCATCGGTGGGCCGCGTCATGCCTGTCAAATTGTTGATAGTAGGCATATACTTACAATAAATCCAGAACTTGCAGACCTAGAGATCCTTCAGCCTGCCCGTACATCTCGGAAGGCTAAGGTAGTAATACGGCCGTGGACATGTTACTTCATGTAGCGTCTGCAAAGCTTTCCACTATACCTGGGGCTTAATATCGTAGCGTGTGTTGATTGTGTATGGGACGCAACATGAAACATCTTAGAATAAGTATAAGACCCTAAATATGTAAGAGAATACAAAGAATGTCAAACTTGTATAAGAGCCCTGACTAACAAAGAGTGAGTAGCGTCAACAAGTAGGTTGCGTATATATTCTGCAATAGCCGCCTTATTCCACAACATTAAAATCCTTATTTCATACAAACATAGCAGCATCTACAAGATATGTCCGACAGTAGTGCGTTTATATTATATAGGCCATACAGCAAGGCCGCCAAGGCATTGTACCAATTAGAGCCATGGCGCGGGAGACAGCTTTGTCCATTCTGTAAATTCAAACACTCTGACCTGATATATGATTTGCTATGTCGCATGTGGGATATAGTACCCTGGGAACCCCATGACTTTAGAGATATCAAGAATCTAGGTATCACGAAGCCATACATTGCCTTGAATGAAGCATCGTATAAATGCCCCCAGTGTCCGTTGATCCTACGAGGTCGAGGTCGATTGATATGCCACGTTTCTCATTCAGAACACATGCCAAAATGGATATATGATGACAATGATCTAGACAGTTGGGATCCTGAATCAAGCAGGCTCTGGGAGCCTGTCGGTCCATTTCCCTTTCTTCTCCTTCCGATAGGTGAGTGGACCTTATACAACACTTATAGCGACAATATTAAGTGAATGCATGAAAACTATTACTAAGATTAGAACGTTGCACTAAAATAGAGCTACGATACATGGTCTACGAAAACGTGTTTTGCTATACAGCAATAGAAATTGGGTGCACCTGGTCTATTGACACCGACAGCACCTTCCTCCAAAACGGCACACACACCAGTCTGTTGTCGTTGTTAGGAGTAAACCGTCAAATTTATAACGAAGGACGTCTTTTCTTTTACGGTCGCAATACGTTTAGATTTATAAACCCCGATTATCTTCCTCTGTTCTTGCTATCCATAGGGCGAGAGAATGCGGTACTCCTGCGGGATATACAAGTCCCTAACTATTTCGCTGACTGGGAAAGCAATACCGATATGGTCAAATTCCACATGATTCGCCCTGTCATTGATATGAATGGTAGCTGGTGGGCGTCGGAGCTCAAGATCTGGAACAGTGAGATACTATATCTAATCTTTGCACGGATGATGGGATGTTGCGATGGGCAGTTCCTACGGCGGATAGGCACGGATAATGCCTCTTCCCAGTTTATTTTGAAACGAGTCCTACATGAAGTCAGATACGAGAGAGGAGACAAAACGCTACGAGGTGGAGTTGTCTTTGAGGTCCATGGTCGGCCGGCCTTTTCCAGCCTCCCGAACAGACAAGATTCCGAGACAGGGGAAAGGGAATAACACAGCGTGACTCTCTCTATGACCGTGCATTTGGTATTTGGACTTTCATTTAGAAGATGATGACACGGGTAGGTTATATATGGGAACGTGGGCGTTTATATAAAGGTTGTCCAGGAGAGGCTTAGAGCAACCAGCAATTGGAATTAGACATTCAACGAGATATGCGCGCATGAACCATGGTTTGACCTGATCAGGACATATGACTTTAAGAATCTTTGTGTGTGCGGCTCTATGCTTCACACCTCTCTGTAGTGAGTTCAGGATAACACCAACAGATGTACAATGTCGGCGTCTCGGCCCTTCGCCAGCCCCCGTGCCCACTTGGTGTAACCTGAGAACAGCCGATATAAAAGAGACGAAGAGCTCGCACGGTTTTTACACCCCTGGAGGCAAGAGACTGAATGTGCTTTTGTATCAGTGATCTTTACTGCCGCATTAACTGCCATCCTTTCTACCCTGTGTGTTTTGAAGCATCATGCCCACCCCCACAGCTACAGATCAGTGTCTTCCAACAAGAAACGACTCATCATCAGCGGAAACATCAGCAGGTCATGAGAGAAACGAGAAGAATGAGCCATGGACGCCCCCTGACGAGGCTCCTGACGGGGGTGTGGCAGCGTGGCTTATGGTCCTGGGCGCGTGGTGTGTGCTGTTTTGCAGCTTTGGGTGGATCAACAGTACGCCTGCAGTCCCTAAGCACAGAAGGTATACTTTCCATTGCTGACAATTGGAATTCTTCCTTTTAGGTATCGGGGAATTCCAGGCGTACTACGAACATAATCTCCTCCGCCAGTATTCCAGCAGTAAGATCTCGTGGATTCCGTCGCTGCAGATATTCTTCATGTTTGCCATGGTACGGACTGTCTACCTCAACAAAATCCCTCCGCAGCTGGATACTGAAATTTGCAATAGGGACCAGTCGCAGGTCAAATCTACGACAGATTTGGTCCTCGATACCTTCTGTTGGGTGGATCGCTTCTGCATGTCTTCGGCTTAATGATGACATCCATATCGAAAAGTTACTATCAGATACTGCTATCCCAGGGCGTATGTAGCGCCATTGGGGTAGCTGCCGTCTTCCAAGCAGGTATACATATACTCCACGCCCTCGATCGATCTACTCATTTTGTCTAACATCTTACAGGGGTTAGCAGCATCCCCAGCTGGTTCAACAAGAAGCGTGGTGCAGTATATGGCATTGTGTCCTCAGGCTCAAGTATAGGGGGAGTCGTCTACCCTATTATGATCAGCAAGCTCATTAGAATCCTTGGATTCCCATGGACCATGAGAATTTGCGCGTTCATGATCCTTTTTCTTCTAATTATAGCCAACCTGACCGTCAGGTCCCGTCTCCCGCCGAGCCCTCAGAAGCTATCCAAGGAGTCCTTGATGCAACCCTTCAAGGAGTTGAAAATGATGTTACTAGTAGCTGGCTTCTTCCTTCTCACGTTCGGGATATTTGTTCCGATGAACTATCTCGTCACTGAAGCAATAGCAAAGGGCATGAGCCGTGATCTGGCTGAGTACTTGGTTGCGATTCTGAACGCAGGAAGGTAAGACTCAAGTCTGCGCTTGACATCGATATCACCAAGTGTCACTAAGCATACAAAACTAGTCTCTTCGGTCGTCTTGGCGCCGGAATCTTCGCCGACACAATCGGCCCCTACAACATCTTCGTGGTTGTCACCTACATCGCCAGCATTCTTGTTCTAGCAGTATGGATCCCGATCTCGAACAACCCCGGAACCATCGTATTTGCCGTGCTCTTTGGGTTCGCCACGGGCGCGTACGTTGCGCTTGCCCCTGGCCTCGTCGTAAAACTTTCCCCATTCCCGGAGATCGGATATAGGACTGGACTTCTTTTCCTGTTCGCGTCTATCAGTGGCCTGACGGCCAATCCAATCGCAGGCACTATTTTCCAACACTCGGGTGGATCATATACAGGCATGAAGATCTTCTCTGGCGTGTTGTTGATTGCAGGGTCGACCCTGACCCTCGGTGTTCGTCTCTGTCAGACGGGCATGAAATTGAAAGCTGTTTTCTGAAAAGGACCCGAAATACGTGCAGGTGTGCTTGAAGCGCCTGGCACCTCGATCGAGTACGCTTAGAATCTTGGGGCTAGATACAGCGACATAATATGCTTTTTTTTTTTTTCTTTTTCCACATTACGAGAGAACTGAAGTAGTGTCGCCTTTCAAAACATTTTCCTTACGAATAGCCGCCGCCTTATGTGAAAGGATTGTTGCGCGCAGTTCAAAGCCTGATACACCACACAACCTATCAAATATGAGAAACAAACATCGAATGAGAATATCCGGGGGACATGCGAACCAATGAGGAGTTCATTCAAAGTTCACGTGGTGTTCATTAGTATTTTATAAGAGTTTTTTGAAATGTTTATGAGGAGTTTATGCACAAATATGTAAGGTTCCGTAAGGCTTATGCGTGTCTCTGAAATAGGACATGATCGCGCCGCGAGTTGAGACATCCTCCCCCCCACAATTCGCGCCAGTCTTATATTTGGGAACATGGTGGCCTAGCTTGAGATTATAGCCTATTCATGCCCACTCCTGTACCTGGAATTCTTTCTATAATCATGTCTGCAACTCCCATAGAAGAGCATCAGAGCGGCTTGCCTCCTGTTCCGCGTCAAACGTCTCCGGGAATAATCCGCGAAATGGAGACTGCCTGCGCCGTTGGTGACCTTCCGCGATTCAAGTCAACCTTGGAAACCTGGACTTCTCTCGGTCTGGATATACACGATCTTGACTCAGTAATGATGCAGGCTGTCAGACAGGATCAGATGGATGTTGTCGTTGAATTATTGCACAAGGGGCTGTCAATAAGCCAATATTATGCCCTAGAAGCCATAAAGCATAGATCAAAAAAGGTTCTGAACATCCTACTACAACATGGATGGAATATTAACCAACCAACAAGTGAACTGAGGCCTCCTGCGCTCGGGTAAGTCACTGCATTACTTTTCCAAACTTCAATACTTACTCGCAGTATTGTCCTAGCTATGCCGTGGACGACGATGAGATAGCCCTTTGGCTTCTTGATCACGGAGCCGACCCAAACAAGCAGTGTTCTATTGATCTTACCCCATTGTCCTACGCAGTAGAACAAGCTTCCCTCCTCACCGTCAAGCTGTTTCTGGACCGTGGAGGAGACATTCACAAAGGGCAATTGCTTCACCATGCTGTTGAGCGTCAAACGAATACCATCGACGTGCTGGGAATGCTTCTAGAGAGAGGTTTTCCTTTGAATGCAAAGATGTACGAGCGACACTATCCTTCGTGGAGACTATTCTACTTTATGGGTTTGGGAACCGCTTTACACAAAGCAGCCGAGTTGGGGAAAGCGGATGTTGTACGCTATCTACTTGAACAAGGTGCGGACGTCGGTATCAAAGATGCTACGAACCGAACTGCGATGGACTGGGCTGTATTGAACAACCATCAAGAGGTTGTGGGACTACTTCAGTCTGTGGAGAGAGGACATCGCCTATGATTAACACTATCGACTAAGGACGAACACTGTTAGCCTGAATTTGGTTCAACATGGCGTTTTCATTTTTAGAGTATGAAGTTCTGATGGACAATTTATGAATTTGCCTCGGCATAGGGTTTGCTGTAGTTATTGAGTGAAAGAGGTTCCAAATCAACCTAAGGCGTTTCCCTACCCTACTTATTGAGCTAGAGAGCACAAAAAATGCAAGGCTGCCTGAGCTGGAAGAAATTCCTGGCCATTCCGCTCTTGTTGTAAATAGAGAAATAATCAGTCATGTCCCGATGCGATATGGTATGGTCCGAGGGAAAGGCAGGCATAATTCATAAGACATTTATGAGACATTTATAAGTGTACACTAAACCGTAATTGGTGAGGCCTATAGCCCACAGTTAAAATCCTTGCTCAATTCTACAGTCCGCCATTTGAATCAATTGGCTAGATATAGGTAATTCTAATCATAAGGGGCACAGACATTGGAATAGAATATGAAATCCACATGAGCTCACAGAACAGCATTGCTAGTGTCTGGCCAGCAGTCAACAACACTTTCACCGTCCTGAATAGACACGACCACCGAACCCTCCCCTCTCAAGGGATCCCCTTCCCACACAACAAAGTCACCTGTGTACCGTTGTGAGTTTTCGGCCGTCCTCCCTGATCCAGTGCCCAAGATAGCCTCGATATTGGTCGATACGAGGGCAATAGCTTCCTTATCACTCAGCCCTGCGAACTTCCCGGCCCACCGGGCTTCCTGTGCTAGGCCATGGACTTTCGAGTCGCTGCTTACGGCTAAGCCTAGCAGCACACCGGCATCGGTCAAGATCCTCGCCGGACTCTTCGTTAATGGCGGCCCCGTGAGAACATCTTTCTTTTCCCAGTTATTCGGAGCACCACGATTGCCAGTGAGAATGACGGGTATGTTTGCTTCGGCAAGGTGCTTAGCAACCTACAGGGGATGAAGTCTGGTTAGCAACCACACGCTTGACTGGGACTATAAAACCATACCGAGACTGCACCGTGGGCCCCATGGATGACAAGGTTGACTGAAGGGAAATCCCGCTTGATGAGAATCAGCTGAGAGATATCATCCTAATACCAGAGTTAGAGATACCACAATATCATTCTTTTTTAGCGACAGACAGTAGGTATTACCTCGTTGTATGCCCGAACCACTACGGGGATCGAGCCATTGGCAGCCTGAACATATATGCTGACGCTTCCATGCCTGCCTTCCCGACCAGCCTCTAGTATCTGTCGCACACGGTGAACTCCAGATCCGACAGTCAGTGTGTCATCACCTGAGCAAATGCTAGTTAGCCATCTGTAATACCTCAGTCGTTCCAAGGCTATTGTCTTAGATCATTCACCTTTAGCTGATTGTCCAATTGTGAAATGTAGTGCAACGTCATCTTTCCAGATTCCGTTCTCAAGAATTGTGCCCGTCTCACTTGTACGTATACCAACACTGACCCCCTGGATAATGCCCCCGTTAGACCGAGGGGCAGTGATTGCCTTGGTAACTCCTCCGATCCTCCCTCTATCAAATGCCCTGCCATGGAGATGCACACCGTACTTGGCAAATTGGAGACTCTTTTGTTCATTCAGAGGATCTGCACTCCTCCCAGTCGATCCATCGCCAGTAGATTCCTCGGATGGGATATCTTGGATTCCAAGGTTGTTTCCGAAGGCTACGAGACCTGGAGTAATATAGCCATTGTTTAGGCTGATTTCGGTAACATTCTTTTCCTTTTGTTCAGTGGAGAGACAAGTGGATCTCTTATCAAGGCATACAGCCTTACCGTCTTCAAGAAGTAACACAACATCGACTGCATCTTCGAGGGGAAACGGAGTATCAAGTAGGACTTTTTTAATACCTGTAAAGAGTAGCTTCGATGGAGATGTATGGACTCTCGAGCAGATGTCATGTTTCTGGTGCTCTATAATTGAAGGTCTTATCGTCGGAGCATCTGGCGACTCTACAGAGTTGGAGCTGTGGATCAGCTCTTCTAGGGAGTCATTATTGCCCAAAACGGCATGACCATCGATGAAGACCTCGAGCGGTGTCGCACCGACTTGGAGCGGATGATCATCCCAGATAACCAGATCTGCGTCGTATCCAGGGCGAACATATCCAATTCTGTGGTCCTGCTGGACCGACCGAGCAGGAATGGATGTAACTGCCTGCAAAGATTTGTCTTCCGGAAGACCAAAAGAATGAGAAACAGCGGCTTGGTACCTAACATTATTCGTGTCAAATCTTGATTCTGGAAGCTGGTCCTGAGGATGCTTACATTAAATACTTTGCGTAATTCTCCTCCCCAGTATGATCCTAGACCTGATGTTAGCCGCAACCACCATTTCATGATTCTGTCTAACAAGGACATACCGATTTCAAGGCAACCTTAACTCCATGGTCATCCAGTATTTTCGGCCCTCTCAGATTTGCACCATAAGCCTCGGCTTTGAAGAGAGAATTCTCTGCAAAGGTTGCGATGGTGACGTTTCTGAGATATGTCAGCTAAATCCATCGTCATGTACAGGCTGCGTAACTAACTCCTCCAGGTGCTTCAAAAGTTCTGGGACCTGCCATGCCTCCAAGGCGTGATGGAAAGCCTGCGGACGAACCCCGAACTCGTGGAGCACAGAGATCATGCGCTCGAGGTCCTGGGGCTCGTAGCAATGCACATTGACATTCAGCTCGCCTCTGATAAGCGCGACTAAAGTTTCAAGCTCGAAGGTCTCCGGGTGCTTTCCATGGTTCCTGATGAAGGTTGTCACCTGGTGTGCTTTAGCAAAGCTGCTCTCCTGAATATCAAATGCCCCTCGACACCAGGCAGTCTGTCTCTCGTGTAACTCCCGCGCCTCCTCCAGACGTTTGCGCAAAAGCCAGGTGAGACCAAGCCTGGTGTTGCCGTACACCCTCTTCGGGTTCTCGCCACAGGCCATTTTGAGGTATCGCTGGCGATCTTTCTCGAGTAGACCGTATTCCAAGAGCAACTCCTCCACGACGGGTTCGCCGGCTGCTCCGGATAAGGGCAGATTCTTGACCATGTACGCTTCTCCTCCGATAATGTTCGCCGACCCAGGTAGAACTAGTGAGGAAGTGACGCCCCCAGAAGCGATGATTTTGATGGCAGGATCGTACGGCTTAAAGCCATCTATGGCGCGGACAAATGGGGTGATAGGACCCAGGAGCGGTCGTTCGTTGACATCGTTCGTAGCTGGAAGCTGTGGAAACGGGAGCAACAAATGGTGGGAATGCATGTCCACCAGCCCAGGGGTAATGAACCTCCTGTGGACATTGATAACATGAGCACCCTCTGGAGTAGGATGGTCCAAGTGAGTGGGAGATACTGATCGGACCACACCAGACGAAAAATGAATATTGAATGTCCCGTCGAGGGTAGAATCTCCGTCAAAGAGAGTCGCATTCTGTATAACAATATCGCCCTTTTGGCCCGAGATTGGATTCCACCGGCTGTTTAGCCTGTTCCCCGCGGCGACTCGATTGTGGCTCCGACCTCGAGCTTCATAACATCTCTTTATCCCTTCATTGAACACATCTGACTCAGTTGAATCATGTGTATAAGGCACAATATTGGCCTTGGATTCGGCTTGCATCAGGACTGCAAGCGCTCCTATCAGGAGGAGGGCGCAAAGAGCTCGCCTCCATCGTCTCAAGCGATGTAGTCTTGACCGCTGTGTAGATTCGCCGTACGTGGACTCTGGAGAGAGAAGACCACCCTTGGTCGCCATGATTACGGTTTGCGATGTGAGCAATCTAGTGATATGGCTTGGGACAACTAGAAGGCAACAGCTTTCAGGTCTAACTCGCCCCTGAAGTACTTATCTGCCACAATTAACCCTATTCTGGGTAAATGAACAATCTCGCGCGATGGTGCACATTTTGTTCGGAGAAGAGAAAAGGATTAGCAGAGTAATTAAGGAAACAATATCGTCCTGCGGCGCTTATCGTTGCGTGACTGTGGGTCGAAAGTGCGTCAGTCGGAGGATTCCCGGTCGACTCCATAAAGACTATCCCCCATTGATTCACAATGTACCGTGACCTGGAGCTGTGAACTTCTTCCTTTTGTTTTTTGTTCGGCATAGCCACCTGATACGTCATGTGACAGCGTATCTTCGCATTACTATTCCCATCCATTGTAGACTCCAGTTCACTACGTTTGCTGTTTTGGACTGCAGAGTCTTCGTTTAAATATCCTCCTGATAAGGCGTATATACAAGCAAGGCTCGAATGACATTAAACACCTTCAACGAAGGTACACAACGTTAAATAAGCCTATCTTGGCGTGCGAAGAGGGTAGTCTTTCACTCCACAGAATCAATCCACACGAGGCTTCAGCCGTGGGTGTCTATCCTGATCGATTTGAGGTATGAGGTGACTGTGTGGGCGAGTAGCCAGAGTATGGGATGAGGATTGTGGGATAAGGAACTGGTATAGGAATTTAGAAATACACGTTATAATTCGCTGGCATATGCTACCTATTTAGTATATCTTTTCTCATAGTCGAGACATTCCCTGATCACATGTTGAGTTTGCTTCCTTTCGTTCCTTTGCTATTGCAACAGAGCGATACTCAGAATGAATGCGAACAGGGGCAACATATAGCATGTTCCTTCGGAATCGGAGGCTCCCCCGTACAACTCCTATTGTGCAGGCCTTGGCAGAGTGAGATAATGTGGATGGACTTCAACCGGATAAGGTCTGATACCACAATTGGAAGGCAGACCAATACTGCCTCAGTGTAGTATGTCACTAAGTTCAGCAAATGACTGATAGCCGAGATTATCCGACCAGAGCCACAGTTGGCTGGCGTCAGCAAGTCCAGAGTCGACTAATGAAGAAATATTTCCATCCCAGGAGAATCCGGCGGACGAATCCAAAGCTGAGTCCGTAGGACCCAGCCCTCCTGCGTCCTGCCAGGTGGAAGAAGAAGTCCCAGAAGTGGGAACTTCCATTTGGCTCGAAGGCGGTTGTGTGTGGTTAGCAAACACTACGTAGCCCTTGTCAATATTGTCCGGAAAGCGATGCACTTCACAACAGGGGCATTACCTTCTTGAAGAGGCGTAAGAGACGTTTGGGCAGTCACCGCAGTACTAGAGCCAACACCCGCATTTGCCTGAGTTTGACTGAAGTCGGTATACCCATTATCAACGTGCTTTTCACGGTTTCTCGGTTTAGAGATAGACGCGGGGGTAGGGTCACCCAGAATTATCCGTTGTTCGGCTTGCATGACAACATTAACCAAATCCTCGAGTATTCTGACGCTTTGAAGTGACAGGACATGGTGGTTCGATACTCTTTCCTTCTGTAGCCGGATGATCTGCATGATGCCTGCTTTTGCCTTCTGACTCGTGATGGACAACGGTTCCATGAGGGAGAGTGCACAGAGGACAACGCCGGATGTAAACAGGCATATCCCAATATGCATTACGGCGTGTGTCCTACGAGAGGCCTTTAGAAGATGAGAATATCGATAAAGTTCCGATGTTCGTAACGAAGCCTCTAGCAGCTGTTGACGAGAGAAGGCAGGGCCTTCGCTCCCGGCTATCCTTCCGCTTACGCCGAGCTCAGGGCCAATATCGCCAAATGCAACACTGCGATGAAGAATGATGCGAAGATTATCGTAGGTTAACTGAAGAGCGAGCGCTGCCAGCTGTATTAAAGGTGGATGTCCCGAGTTATCATCTTCCTTATATGTTTCCAGACGTAGGCTATCGGGTAGTTCTCTCTCCCATGTGACTAGCCGATCATGAACAACTTTGACTGTGTCGAGTCGATTGGTCTGAAGTCGCCTTCCTAGGAAGGGGCCCATGAGGCGATAAAGCTTAAATTTCCATTGATGATATATTAGGAGAGGACTCTGACGGGGACTCACTTCCCCCACATCTGTTACCATGCCAATATTACAATCAGAGTCGTCTATACTACACGGCCTGCCGAAGGCCACAGCGGCATACCTGAACAATAAACGATAGCGTCAGAAAGACAAGATAATAGACGAGAACTACAGCAGATAACTTACTTGTCGAAAACTTCCAAGGCCCACCATGACCGTCGTCTCGACTCTCGCGCGACTTCAGAAAGGTTGTGCCACATTGATTCACGATGTAATCCAATGACCTGTGCAATTTTAATGCCACTGCCTAACACGCCCATACCAACAGTCGGACGACCATTGAACAAGTGAAAGCTTCCTAGGAGCACGCAAACCTGCACAGCTTCCACATTTGGACACCCAATAATCTGTAAGAATCTGTATTCAATCTGGGTGAGGAGCTTCTCGTATAAGACTGATAGGCTCTGGAGGTTTTCACCCAGGGGCTCGGAAAGGGACGAGTAGTGAGCGCCCAGAGCGAGGACTAACAACACAAGCCACAGGAAATTGCTATCGGGTGCAGCAACATGCACTGAAGCAATGAGACTCTCGTATCGATGTCGGAAGCTCCCTTCGTGGAATACCTGACGTAATCGCATTAGGCCAACGGAATCGACAATGAAGCAGACCGCTACACAAATGAGAACAGAGTATACCATCATAAACCAATCTACTGAGTCGAAGAACCGGGTAACAAGTTCATCCAGGACTTGCCGGTCAGGCAGCTCTGTACCAATTGCATCTCTCCATGGCATCGGGCTGGAGAAGAGAGGGCTGTAGGTCTTCCTGCCTCCAGGCAAGGCGGAGGTGTCGTACTCCAGTGCCTGATGTTGCTCATCGCGCGAAAATATCTGCAAATGGTCAGCGAGTTACGAGACTGTAGAAAGGTCTTCTCCAAAGGTCTCCTTGCCCTGGTACTCAAGTCGACAATGTTAAGCTCTGGAAGAACTGCAGTATCTCGATCGTTCAGACGGACGGGAGCAGCTCGTTCTTCACCGTAACTTCTCCTCTGCCCAGCCGGCGCAACGATTGGTATCGTTGGGGATGCTCGAGCCACTGGCTGCCCGCGCGGGACACACGTTACGCCGGCTCGGAGACATAACTGGCAAGGGCGTTGTTGGTCGCACTGCCAGTAGTATTACTGTTTTCAGCCACGATCTACACAAAGTGGATACGAATCGATCGAGGGATGACCACATACCCCTAGCTTGCGTTGACGACATCGCTGACAGGCAGATGAAACTTTCTGGCGCTTTCTGGCCTGGTCCATCGTACAGAAGGCAGGTCGAGTCTAGGGGGAGATCATTGGGTCTTGGTTCATCTCCGACGGACTTAAATAAGCCTTTTAAGTGGGGATGCCCTCCGGCGGACTTACATAAGCGCTCCAGAGCAATCGGTATGACATCACCATTGGACGAAAGCTCCTCATACATACTCCGGAGTACAACTGTCAATCATACTTAAACATCTTGTATTTTCCGGTTCGATCGAGAAGGTAGATTCAGATTCACCATTCCTCTCTAATAAGACTTTCTGTTCAAGTATCTTCTCTTTACACATCATTATCACTTCCATACCATCCGAAATGGCACCCCCACGCAAAGCCTTGATTGCTATCACTTCCGCCCATGCACCGCTCTACCCAGACGGCAAAGAGACGGGTAGGATCTAAGTTGGCCTGAATCTATTAATATGCTAATAGAGATGCTTAGGTCTATTCATCACCGAGGCGCTTCATCCATTCAATGTCTTCAAAAAAGCAGGTTTCGAGGTCGACCTCGTCTCCGAGACTGGTACCTACCAGCCAGATTGGTTATCCCAGCAGAAGGATTGGCTTCCAGACGAGGATCGTGCCGTCTGGGAAGATCACTCAAGTGAATTCCGGTCCAAACTGGATAAATTGCTGAGTCCAAAGAACATTAAGGCGGAAAACGTATGTGCCAACTTTCGAAAACGAACACGCGATATCCGACGCTAACCATTGAATAGTATGGCCTTTTCTTTGCTTCCGCTGGCCATGCGTCACTGATTGACTACCCCGATGCCAAGGGTCTGCAGTCAATCGCTGCTAAGATCTACACTGACGGTGGCATTGTGTCTGCTGTGTATGTCGATCATTTCTACTTCTTCCCCAAAATGCCGGTGAAGTGATACTAATACCCCGCAGTTGCCATGGAGGAGCCATCTTCCCTGGTATTATTGACCCCGCCACCGGAAAGTCTGTTATTGCGGGTCGTAGAGTTACTGGGTTCACAACCCGCGGTGAAGAGGAAGAAGGCGTCCTGGATACCATCAAGAGCTGGAAGAGGCCCACCATTGAGGCCTCCGCAGCCTCCTCCGGAGCAACCTGTAAGTGCCCCTCTCCACCATATACTACATGTCTAATCGTGTGTTTTTCTTTTCAAGACGTCTCCCCTGCTGGTCCTTGGGATGCATTCACTATCACGGACGGACCTATTGTCACCGGTGCAAACCCTGCCAGTGCTCATGTGACCGCTGAAGCTGCGGTCAAGGCTTTTGATGCGCTTTAAATTGCTCTCTTATATATGACCTTGATTGGGGCATAAATTGGACTGGTTATGGTATGAATACCGTTACTGCTCTTTCTCTGCTGTCTTCATTTACCAGGATGTAAATCGTTCTTTGATAGCTACGATTTTAATATCTATGGCTTTGAAAATAACATCTATTTATAAAGTTTTAAGCTCTTAGTACTCCATCTGGGTTATGCGCTGGATATAAGTGCTATGACTATCTAGATGACTTGCACTGCGACCACTTCAACCCTCACCCATATCGTGCATTTGTAGCTTCGTCATCAAACCAGGTAGGGGCTACCCCGTAATTAATAAGCGTGCTTTTGACCTTGGTATAACTCTCATACGCCTCTAGGCCATTTTCCTTGCCAATTCCACTCTCCTTGAACCCACCCCATGGTGACGACGGATCGTTCAAATGATGACCATTAATCCACACAATGCCGGCATCAATTTTGTGCGCAACGCGATGAGCCTGATTAAAGTCGTTTGTCCAGACCGACGCACCCAGGGCAAACGGGGTACTATTCGCGATAGAGACAATCTCCTCCTCTGACTCGCACTGGATCAACGCAATCACCGGCCCAAACACCTCATTACAAGCCAGATGTGAATCAGCCCGGGTTTCAATAATAGTAGGCTCGAAGAAGAAGCCCTTCCCATGTGGTCCCGCGGTAGGACGCCCACCACAAAGCACATTGCCACCCTCCTGCACCGCCCGATCCACAAACGCAGCACATCTCTCCACTGCAGCCCTCGAAATAACCGTCCCAATCTGCGTGCGCTCATCCATCGGATCCCCAACCCTCAACCCCCTCACCCTCTTCTCCAGTAAGTCCCGAAACGCCGCGTAGATCTCCTGATGAACCAGCAATCGACTCCCAGTCACACAGGTCTGTCCACTGGCAATAAACCCCGCAAACAACGCCGCTTGAACGGCCCTCTCAACGTCCAAACTCGGAAATAGACAAACAGGCGCCTTACCCCCCAACTCCGCCGTAACGGGAACCATATTCCGCGCCGCAACAGGCGCAACCGCCCGATATGTCCCTAGACCTCCGGTGAGATCGATCTTAGCCAACAGCGGCGACTCGCAGAGGTATTTCCCCGTCTCGAACCCATTGCCGGAGATAATCTGGAGGACGCCGTCGGGTAACCCGGCCTCCTGGAACAGGGGACCCAGTTTCAAGACCGACAACGGCGCAAGCTCGCTCGGTTTCAGGATGACCACATTTCCCGCTGCAAGAGCCGCTGCGATCTTCTTCGTCGCGATCAGCAGCGGATGATTGTAGGGTGTGATCTGTGCGACGACGCCGAGCGGGAGACGGGTGAGGGTGTTCACGACGGGGCCCTTGAAGGGCGTTACTCTGCCTTCGTGGACGCGAGCCAGCGAGGCGAAGTATTCGAGCCATTCTGGAACACGGGATAATTGGGTTTGCATCTCGCGGATGGGACGGCCTGTTTGGCGGGTTTCAAGCTCGATGAATTCGGGCAGACGGGCGCGGAGGAGTCGGGCGGCGGTGGAGAGGACTGTGAAGCGGTCCGAGGGCTCGGTTTTGGACCATGGTCCTGTGCGGAAGGTTTGGACGGAGTCTGACACGATGGTGGTGACTGTTTCTTGGGGTGTCGCGTCGATGGTGGCGATGGGTGTTTCGGTTGCTGGGTTGAGGACGGTGATTACTTGCGGGGTTGCGGTTGTGCAGGCGCCGTTGATCCAGTTGGATACATGGGGGATGGAGTCTGACATGGCGGGCTGGCTTCTTGGTAGAGGTTTAGTGATGGGATATTTCTGTAGCAAGTCCCAATGGGGGGTCTTCCAGTGTATTTGTATTGAGGAATTCAGAGGAGGGATTGTTGACTGATAAGCTACAACCCCGCATTTCCAATGCGACGCTGTCCTTATCTATCAGGAACTAACTTTCATCGTTTACCTGAGCATTTGACTTGCAGGAAAAATTCGACATAATCACGACGGCCGTTCGCTAGTTAAAACTTCCGCATCGCACCTCAATGCTATTGAGACTCAAGGACCTCTTCCTATCATAGGTAAGGGAAACGGATTGATAGACTGTTTATTCCTTATCGGCGGCCTTATCAATGGCAGGTGGAGTTCCGAGCGACCCCACTGTGGGTCCTATATACAACCTGGTGTGAGTACTATGGAAGTATGTACTCTCACAAGCAAACAGTCTTGTTGCAAAGCACTACGTTTAATCTACTATTTGAAGTATCTCGCGGTTGAAGAGTCTTTGTCGCATCAGATTCACGTGAGCAAGGATTCCAATTGCCTTGTCTTTTGTCGAAGTGGAAAATTGTTGGATGAAAGGACCATAGCGAAAGACTGTACTATGGCCTGCTTGGGTGAGTTCATCAAGAGGCAATTTTCAGGAAGTATGATCTTTATAGTGGTGAGTACAATCTAGGAGGTGGTTAATGTATTCAAACCAAGAGCCCTGGAGCATTTAAGCGGGCTTGTTCGCATATGTAGCTCGCACATAATGTTTTCTTGCTCATTTAAGTAACACCGATATATCATACTACCCCCGTGACGAGGGGTCACATGTAGCCTGACTATACAAGTCTGCTTCGGCCCCCTATCTCCAAACGATTCTCTAGTACCCTAATCCAGGACCAGCAAATTTTCAGAATGTCTCAATTACCCTATCAATTCTTCCGCTGTCAGCATGACGGCCCCTTTACTTGGTTCAGTCCTTGGGAAGGGTTTGAATCCCGAGGCCATTACCATCTGCCGCTATCCCACTGGCTAAACAGAGAGAAGATAGAGGAACACCTGGATTGGCGTCGTCGTCCTCTTCAGCCCTCGCCGTTCATTTCAGTATTTAACAACGAGTGTGAGTGATGCACGACTGGCTATATCTCTGGATAATGCTAATGATGTCGATGTTTCCAAAGACGATGCGAATCGCCGCGCTCAGTACCATGTGGGCCATGGGTGCTCTGGTGTATTTGTGGCAGAGATCGATACCACGACTCTTGAGCCCGTCCTTCTCCCGATCACCTTCGCGCACGAAACTGTACAACTACCGGTCTGGACAAACTCCGACAACACGACCTTCATCTCTACTCGGGCTGTTAGATGGCATTTGGGAGTCTCGCACAGTGTCAGCCAGCTCTCGGAATGGTTTGCCTTGAACTATATCCCTGCTTCAATGATCCGACATACTGTCGCTTTTTGATACTCTCTAGCATCCACGATTCAGAGCGAGAGCCATGACGGTTTCCTGTGTCGGTATTAGTGACTAGAAGATTGGGAGGCAGTGACTCGAGATATTTTCAAGATGTTCGGTGGCTAGTGAGATGCAGGTTGTAAAGGGCGTCGGGTTACGTTCCGTGTTTTCGTTTTATTTCGGAAATTGTCAATTAAGTCACGCATGATGCAATAGAGCTACATGACAAGGCATGGATATTACGGAGAAATGCAACATTTTCTGGGGAGGATGAGACAGCTGCTGGAAGAAGGAGAAAAGGGATTACATGGAGAAAGTAAATATGTAGACTAGCGAAATACATGAGAACGACAGGCACTAAGGGCAGGAATTGAAGAGATAAACAACAGAAAATGAATTGAGAATGGAATCTCCGAAGTCCATCAAAAACTGACCCACTTTTAGTCGGTCTAAGCCAAATGAACACTAGCGCTATTGAAGGCAAAGACGGACTCGATTTAAAGTCAACAGCCGAGTATACAACTGGGGATATTAGATATATTTGCTCAGCTGGCAATATAATTTTGAATCTGTCATTGAAGGACTTTTGAAATGTAGGCACTAGCTTAACCAAACATTACTTCATGATGGATCCCGCGCAGCTCTCAAATATATTTGTTCAGCCAACATATACTTCGAAAATGGTCACAGGACCAATGCAATGCACAACATTGCATAACTATTTCTTACTCCGAGCTAGCTCGGGCTGTGCAAGCATCTCCTGATCCCATCGGGGATCTCCGCTCTCACCAACCGGCGCCCAGCCGAGCTGAATCTATATCGACAATCAGTTACCATACTCACATATGCCAAACGTGTACCGTGTGAGACAGTTACCTGCATGACTTTCTGATCCCAATCCTTCGTAAAGCTCTTGACCTTCCCATCCTCAATCTCAAAGATAGCCGCAGCGCTCCATTGGGCCTTTTTCGGTGGATCTGACCGTTCAATACCTTGATAAGGCTCCCCCGAGTGTGACCCTTCCGCTGTATATCGCAACAGGACATGGCCATTCTTAGCCCACGCTTGATCATAGCGCACGATGTGCAAGTCATTCACAGACGCCATTACATGCGCATGAGACTCGGCGTAATCCATGGGGGTAGAACATCCTGGGAAGGTAGAAGGGCTCCAGAACCAACTGTCGGCTGTGCAGAGGTGGCGGACTGACTCGGCGCCTTTGTTGTCGGTCGGGGAGTAGCGACCGCCATGTACTCCTTTGCCACTGCGATGTTGCGCTATGAGTAGTAGGGGTAAGCTTTGCGGTGCGACCATTGTGGTTGATTGGTGATATATGTGGTGGGGTTCTACTTACCTCTTCCTCCGGTGTTTGCTCCGTCGCAATGACGGTCGGAGGTTGGTTTGCGGACGACATTGTTGGACTATTTTGTTCAAAGGGTATGGTGGTGATTGTTTGGAAGTTTGGGGTAAATTTCTGGAAGGTCGGTCGCCTCTATATATAACTATGGAATGGAGGGTGTGACGGACGTCGTGTATAGTGTCATGATGACGGTGCACTCATCGTTCCCTTCGGTCGCTCAGCCGTGTATCTCCAATGTCACAGACAAACAATATATTGTGTGAGAGGACAGCTAATTACCAAATTACTAGCCACATGTGTTGAAAAATGGGGGGTGAGTGCAGGTACAATGGCAGCATTTAGTCGTAACACTGATACAGAAATGTGAATGAATCTATACAGCGGGTAGAAAGCGCTATGAGATCGCGTGGGACAGTCCATAACACCAGGTCCACTTTACAATACATTGCCTATAATCATTTATCTGTGAACTGCGTGCCATGTCATGTTAGCGTCCGACAATACTAGTACAAGCACTGCAATTTTAGGCTCCCAGAGGCGTTGAATATGATCTGGGGACGAATCAAAACCAAGAAAGCATCTGCCATCCTATTGGGACGTTAGCGAGTTTCCATGTAAGCATACTATCTGTGTCAGCCTTCATGCGCACAGTGCTGTGCCAGTTCAAACACTTTCATTGTTCTGGAAGATGGTTTCCTTTGTTCTTTTTGTTGGAAAGCCCGGAGGGAGTTAAGATAATAGGGTTAGTATTGGAATGGAACAGGTGCTAGCCGCATAAATCCTAAAGTGGGCATACTATATAAGATGCTGCTATAGGGACGTATCCAATACATTCTCTGCTCTGGATTGCCACCGGCCCACCGCGTCCTGTGAAATATACGAGAGATGACAATGGCAATAGGGAGTGATCCACTCATCGAATGATATGGTCATTATGACAGCTAATTAGGTAGAAATTGCACGCATTGCACGTCCTCGTGGCAGGGTTGGAGTAATCAGATGATATTTCCCCATTTGTGCGCTGCGATTAAATTGCCAGAAAGGGAAACTTGCGCCTTCGTTCTGCGGCCCGCGGGAATCCTGACAATCCGATTGGTCGAGAGCATTGGCCTTGTTCCCCCTTTCAGCCATAAAGGCGCCATCACCAATCAGCAACCGACAGTCACTTGACTGGGGAGCCCTTCGAGCTACACTATTTATATATGCATCGTCTGCTTTCTTATCTCCTTCTCCTTGACCTGTATACCATCTAGACCACTCATTGATCACGGTGGACCCCCCGATTTTCCATTCCCATCCCCCATAGAACTAATCCACCGTCGCCTTTGTCGCTAGCTTTGACGGACATGTTAACGACCACTCCCCTCGATTCATTCAGTTTGAACGATGCCTCTCCAAGCAAGCGGCGAGTCGCCTACTTTTATGATTCCGACGTGGGCAACTTCGCCTACGTCTCCGGACACCCAATGAAGCCCCACCGGATGAGGATGGCACACAGCCTCATCCTCAACTACGGGCTCTACAAGAAGATGGAAATCTACGTGAGTCTTTGTAGTCCTTGTTGTGAGGCATTTTTCCGTGCTTACCTCCCGGGGCATTTTCTAGCGTGCGAAACCCGCCACGAAATATGAGATGACGCGGTTCCACTCAGATGAATATATCAACTTTTTGTTCAAAGTCACTCCCGACACAATCAGCAAGCACCTGACCGAGCAGGTGAAATACAATTTCAACGACGACAATCCCGTCTGGGACGGCCTGTCTGAATTCTGCAGCATCAGCGCGGGCGGCAGTATGGAAGCGGCCGCCCGTCTGAATAATAGAAAATGCGATATAGCGATCAACTGGGCCGGCGGCCTTCACCATGCGAAGAAAAGCGAGGCGAATGGTTTCTGTTACGTGAATGGTGAGTTCCTCGTACCCATTGAATTGGGTTGGTCGGCCCGGACTCATGTGGGGTAGATATTGTTCTGGGAATTCTGGAACTATTGCGCTTTCATCAGCGCGTCTTGTATATCGATATTGACGTGCACCATGGTGACGGCGTCGAGGAGGCGTTTTATACGACTGATCGGGTCATGACCGTGTCCTTCCACCAGTACGGGGACTTCTTCCCGGGGACCGGCGATATCGGCGATATCGGCGTGCACGAGGGCAAGAATCATTCTGTGAATGTACCTCTGCGCCCTGGAATGGACGATGTATCCTATGGTCGAGTATTTCAGCAGGTGATTAAAGGCGTAATGGACTGGTATCGACCCGACGCGTGGTTCTACAATGCGGCGGGGACAGCTTGTCAGGCGACCGTCTTGGAAGTTTTAATCTGAGTATGCGAGGCCATGCGAACTGCGTGAATTACGTTAAGAGTTTCAATCTGCCCACCATGCTGGTGGGAGGTGGTGGCTACACGATGCGGAATGTCGCGCGTACGTGGGCGTTCGAGACGGGTGTGGTGGTAGGAGAGGAGGTCGGACCAGAGCTGCCCTACGATGATTTCTACGGGGTATGTGATCTACAATCAACTTGTTTACGGGGTATTAACATAGAGTATCAGTACTATGCGCCGGATTATATCCTTGACGTCAAGCCATCGAACATGGCAAACCAGAACACCGACGCATACTTAACGCAAGTATGCACGAAGGTATTGGAGAACATCAAGAAGACCACGACTTTCAGCCCATCCGTCCAGATGACAGACGTACCATACCTCCCGCTTGTTCCCGCACTCGATGGTGAATATGAAGATATTGCCGATGATGAAGACGAGGATAACAACAAGGACGTCCGCATTACGCCGCGCCAAGTCGACATGCTCATTGCGCACGATGGCGAGCTGAGCGATGACGAAGAAATGAACCAGATCAGCAATGTGCTGAACGCGATCAAGAAGCGAAATCAGATAAACCATGGCGAAGTCCTTTCGACCGTCTCTACGACAGAGGCCGAAGGCGCAGCATCGAGAACATCGGTTGATCCGTTAGCCGATGGGTCCGTCAACAGCCAAGACACGCCGATGACCGAGACTGAGGCAATTTTCGACAATCAGTAGCCCTGTTTTCTCTCTTCTCTTTCCATTCTTGCTCTCTTTCTTTGCTTATCGTTCCTTCTGCAACTCATTCTTGATATCCTGTTTCTAGCGATGTCGTTGCTTTCCTGGCGATTCTTTGTGCCGTCGTTCTCCCATTGATTTGTGTATCTCGTTTAGTTTTTTGATTCTCTTACGGCATATTGTGGGGGTTGACAATTATGATGTCATATTATTCATACTGCAACCTCCTTACGTTATTCGATCAATAGATAGAAGTCGCATATAGCGAATGTTGAAATAGTGCTTGAGATAGAGGATACTCCAGGCATCCGCACCGAATACCATATGGCTGCACTCCACACAAACTCCAGGCTATGCCACAACTAATCAAAGACCCCAGATCTATAAATAGCTTATGCATCAGACGCGCCAGCAGCTTGCAATCGGAGTCTCCAATACTGCGATCATAAATAAAATCCGTATTACCATCATATTTTATCTGTATTATATAATGTCTATCAGGGTATAACCATATCGTATATCTAACAGCAGCCTACTCGCGAACAAGAACACCCCTGTATCTCATCTTCCCATCCCTCAGCGTCTGCATGGCCTCCTCGATACCAGCCTCGTTCAAGGGGAACTTCATAATCGTAGGCTCAATCTTCTTATCGGCGGCGAACTGCAGCAGGGACTTCAGACTCTTGCGCGACGCGACCAGGGAGCCCTGAATGCGAATGCCCTTGGCATTCATAAAAAGCAGAGGGACAGCGGAGGGCTTGAAGTCAACGGTGAGGGGATAGATGGTGCCATGGACGTCCATGAGAGGAAGGAGACTGTAATAATTAGCAACCAGCCAGGTATTTTGAGAACATCCCCATAGAACTTACGATGGATAGTCAACGTTCGCACTACCGCAGAGCAAAAGATGCTTCAACGGCTTGAAGTCCTTCATCTCCTGTCCGGCGGAGAAGACATGGTATTCCGACGCTCCGAATTGCATGGCCTCTTCGCGCTTCCGCTCGGAGCTGGAGAGAACAACGACTTGACAGCCCATGCAGCTGCCAGCTTAATGGCCAGGTGGCCCAGACCACCGATGCCCATGACACCGACCCGGTCTGTGGGCCGGAGCCCGTATTCGGTCAGACAAGTCCAGACTGTGGCACCGGCGCACATCAGGGGCGCCGCGTTGGCGGAGTCATAGCCGTCCGGGATCTTGAAGACGTTGCCGGCATTCCAGACGACGCCGTGGCTGAAGGAACCGAGGTCGTGGTTGTGAAATCCGTATTCCTTCTTGTTGGCGCAGTATTGATCCCAGCCTGCTGGTATATTAGTTACGGAGACGGGAGAGAGAGTATACCAGCTGAACATACCGCTGATGCAGTGATCGCAAATCCCACAGACTTCATGTGTGTATCCGAATCCGACACGGTCACCGACCTGAACGTGTGTCACGGCGTCGCCAACCTGTCTCACAACGCCGACGCCCTCGTGGCCAAGAACCTGGCCAGAATGCAAGTAGTGCTCGTCTGTGCCGCAGAGGCCGGAATGTGTGTCTCGATGTAGACGTCCGTCGGGCGAAGGGGACGGGTCGTCTTATCCGCGACGATCTTGCCCTCCTTGGAGCCACGGTATACGTCAAAGGTGATGCTGCTCATATTGACTCTTGTGATCTGGGGAATGTGGGAAAAGCGAAGACTGGGTACATTACAAAGACCTCGCGTTCATGGCCCAGGGGGCCCTCATTATATAAATCCTCTACGCCCGGTAGATACATCCCGATTGCTAAGCCGGGATATCATATAATCAGAAACATGTCCTCACTTTGGTTTGGATTAGAGTTTTTCGTGCATTCAACCTTCGGTCTCCGTATCCACGGGCCCACACCTCCCGGGATCCGCAGAGTGCCCTAACTCTCCGAGACGGAAGAATTCATACCACCGGACCTGGGTTCTTTTTGTTTTGCTTTGTTGATAGTGTATAGTGTGACTGGGGGTACACAGTGAGTATGTGTAGGGACGGAGGTAGTTCTTCTACGGGGTGGGATCTGCGGATAGCCTCATGCAGGTATACAGATGAGGAATGTGACCGCACACTATACCATGCAGCATTGCACTCTTTGCAACGAGTTCTCAGCGGTGAATAGACCTTGAAGGCAATACATCTCATCCAATAAACCCAGAAAAAAGATCATCCATACATGTAAAGACCCTTATTACATCATAAGCCCCACGTCATATTCACTAGAGTCGCCAAGGTCTCCAACTACTATAGTTGTCTTAGGCTGCTAAGTCTGTCGAGTCTCGACTCTCGAGATATTCCTCCGTACCCCAGCTTACACAGCTGAGATTTTCTCGACTTTCGCGAGCGTTGCGGTCCGCTTGGAACTCTGGCCGCGTTTATCGCAGATAAAGTATGGAGAATTCGCCACAGAACTCGGGACCCACTTACCATACTTGGTCGCTGTTAAGATCCTTCAAAGCTATATACCGAGGTTCAACCGTCACCGGATACATGTCCCTGCTGTATGGGATGTGTTGTCAGGTCTCAGAATATCAGGAAGGCAGCTTCGTTGTCACTTGGAGAGCATAGGAGCGTAGAATCTTATACCAATCAATGCTCTATTATTCAGCATTTCCCCGAGCGTAAAAAAGATCAGTAACTATCTTGCGGGACAGACTAAATTGAAGAATAACACAATATCTTCTGGGTTGATGTGGATCGAACGAGACTACGGTCTACCCTCTTCGCACGCCAAAATAAGCTTATTTAACGTCGAAAGATCAGCGTACCTTGGTGGAATGTGTTAATGTCATTCGAGCATTGTTTACGTGTTCCATGGACAATCAAAGGGAATTGGAAATGTACTATCGAACTACACTAGACTCTAAGAGTGTCCCGACTAGGATGCTACTTGACTTCTCACAAGGCAACATCATAACCGGTGGACACTGCCCCAAGATATAAATTGTTGAGTAATCCTGAAATTACCTAAGCTAGAAAAGTCTCGAAGGTTTGAAACAAAAATAGCTGAAGTGCCAACTCGGTAATGGATCGGAGGTTAAGGAGAGTGAAACAGTGGGTCTCATCTCAACGGCGCAGAAATCGCCATGAAGGCTCCACTGCGTAGCCGATGCCGATGTGCCGTCTTGGCAGAAAGACGAGATTCTGTAAAGGAGGTTGAGTCTCTTATTGTCTCAACGAGTTCAAGTTCGAGGATCGTCACTCACGATGGGGAACCGTTCTCAAAATATCCTTTATATCTAGACCTCCCTCTTTGTGCTTTCCGGAGTCCTATTCAACCGAAAATATTTTAGATGATCTAATGGTCTTGCTAATATATATTCTTGCATTTCATTGACTATATGGTTTGAGCCTGGACCCTATTATGTATTATATTGCTACCGCCAGTGGATAAGACATATCTCAAAATGAAAGCAACCAGTATTTAACGGCCAAGAGTCCTCCTGATCATGTCTTTCCATTGCTTTCTCTCAACTAGCATCATGCCCCTCCAATACTCATGGACAATGGAAGAGAAAAGGCCAACGGTCTGCAGCTGGAGGTCTCCTGTTCCTCCAGGCGATGAAAATACCCAAACCACGCAATTTGGCAGCTTAGGCAGCGTAGAAGATTAGATCAAGTACTTGGTAATATCTTGCTAGTTTCAGTTGCATCATCTACCAACCTTTTGCTATTGGGATGACAAGTCTTTCTTTATGAAGTTCAACACGCAGTGAACAAGATTCTCAGCCTAGTAAACAATGGACATTCTACTCTTATAGTCGTGCTCAAGATTAAATTGAACTCGTCGATGCAGTATTTGCTAGCTTACCGCAGGAAAGTAGCCCACCGGCCCACTATATATGGTACTGTACTAGACTGACGCGTGACTGAAGGGAACACTTTTAATGTCATTAGCTATTTCCACCTTTGAGTATCGCTGCTGCGCCATATCCTGAAGCCAACACTGCGGAGTACTCCTTATCGCCTCTAGTGTCTTCTTCGAAATACTGGATCTCTGGAGGCACGGCCCAAGGTATACCATCTCCACGTAGTCATCTGCGTCACCCTACTTCCAAGTCGGCCAGCATGCAAGGAATAGATAATGTGCCATTGGGTGGCCTAATCAGACCTGGCAGCTAACTCGCCCTTTGTAGCGGGTGGAACAAAGCATGCGTGAATGATTGAAAGAATCCGAACAAAGGTGTTATATAGACCATCCTATCAGACAAAGCATACAAATGAACAACCAGTTACATGGAACTTCCACTGCGTCCGCGGCAACCAATTCACAGTTACATGTTTGAACTAAGCAAGCCTAGGGTTCACCCTGACTCACAAGTAAAACATTCCGGATGCTCAATACCATGAAATCCAGCACACCTAAAATTGTGTTCTGTTACTTTTCCATTCTTCTGTTTTTCCTCTCTCTACTTTTGCTTCCGTACTCTTTTCTCTAACTCTTCACCCTTTCACACTGCGCACTCAATACATACAATTATCTCCAACATCACATTCCATCACACATCCCTCCTTGTTTTAAAGATAGCGATCATGGCCCCTTCTAAGGTCAGCTCCAAGGTGAGCTTGAGCCAGGCAGAGCGACAGGAACCTCGCATGGTATGGAACAATACCAATATCAACACTGTACGCGACAGCCAGCCCTCCGCCTCTACTCCCTCTCCTGCTGCTCAAGCTGACTCTATCTCTGCACGTCAGCTGTGGCAGGTCATCATGCGCACCCAGCAGGTGAAGCTCGACCTGAACCTGGCTGAGATCTCAGCTGCCTGGCGTAAGTACCTCCCGATCACTGCCCAGTCAACACTAACACATCTGCTAGCCACTTATCCCCGCCCCACGATCTTTGCATTAGAGCAGCAGCTTGCTGGCTTCCGTCGTCATGCCCGTGCTGGAAACAGTGTGGTGCTGCGTCGCGGTGATATCAACGTCGCCATGAGCGCCCAGGCCGCTGCCGATGCTCTGGCTGCAGCCACGAACGAACAAATCCACGTCTCTCCCGTCCACGGTGGTGCCACTGGCCAGACTACCAGCAATGCGACTGCCCCCGCTCACCCTCCTCCCAGCACCATCCCCGGTGACCAGGCAATGGCAGGTCCTAGTAGTACTAGCTTCCATGCTGTGAATGGTGGTAACGCGGTTGGTGCTCCCTTCCTCCCTTGCAGATAAACAGGCCTAAGGAGTCTCAGGTACCAACCACGTCCGGCGGACTTCCCCTCGCCAGGCTGCCCGCTCCGGACCAGCCAGCCAGGGCTCTGGCGCTTAGCAGGATAGAGAGTCGTCGTATTGTGACTAGAGCTTACCGGCCTTATCCTCCCGTGGCTCGTCGTTACGTTCCTTATTGTGACTGTGGCAGTTTGGATTGTTTTCACTGCTACGAGAGAATCATGGCCCGGCGGTAGTTTTCTTGCGTTGGTGTTTGCGAGTTTGGTATGCACATGTATGTATGCATGGAGCGTTTCTAAGCACATGATGATGTTTGCGAGCTCTATGTTTTTGTTGTGGTGGGTTCTGGATACCAGGGTTCAGCAGAATGTGTGCTTTATGGGGAAGGATATTAGTGGCTCCTGATGATAGTTGATAGTCGATGCTATTGCATACGAATTTGTAATCCTGAAGTCTGTCTTGATATCACTAACGATGTGGATTGTATATGGAATGTAGGTTATCTGGATGGCTATCTATCTCCCCACTAAATATTGGACACACGCTCAATATTGTTGAAAGAATGAACACAATAGGCCTTAATGACAAGGGTTGAACTCTTGCTTAGACTATGTAAAACTAATATACAGAGGATTATTCATCACTGTAGGATAATCATATAGTTGCCTTAGGTAACTCAATTTCCATGCCAAATCCAACTTTGTTGAGCTAAGAGTGACTGTTATAGATTCGTTACTTTATTAAAACTGTAGAATAAATTCTTTACATATAGCAGAAATCCCCAGATGGTCAATAGGAAGTAATTTATTCATGATGTCCTGATCAAGTGCATTCTATGCAGCTTGAATACGCCGCTTGAAGCGCTCGATAGTACCTTCTGATATTTCATCTAGAAGAGCATGAATAGAGCTTTCGTCCAAATAGATTACCAGGAATTTCAATTTGGGTTGAGTCGGGCGAATAGGATAGCCATCTACAAACGAGATACAATACCTTTTAGACCGCTTCTAAGCTGGCTTAGATAGATGAAATCACGGAATATCTTGTATAGACCCAATACTAAAGCACTCCATTAATATTAGCCCATTTCGGGGACAGGGGATAGAAGAATTCGTTGTATAGTCAGCATTCACTTCCAAATCGCCCCCTTCTAGCATCACTTATTCTGACCGATCACCATTCCATGCAGCCGCCCATATCTACAATAACCATATCAGCCCGGTAGTCCTCAACTACAAGGGAAACTGTGTATTATGTAGGACACGGGAGGGAGTGTTTCTCTGAAGCGCAATAACGCTAAAATCGCTGGAATGAAGCCAGGCCTTCTACTGTCAGATGTGACCCTTCAATTTAAGTCTGGACTGTTGGTCATTCCCGAATATCGTCTGGTTGATAAGGTATACTGTAGCGTACCCCATAGTATCTAATTAAAAAACAGAGTTGAATGAGAAAATCTACTATTAGACCACCCAAGAAGGTCCAAGGTATCTTCATAAGATAACTTATAGTGTGACTCTCTGATTGACACACATTACCACACCAACCATATAATCCCACTACACTACAAGACTCGAAATATAGCGGACGAACTTCCTTGACTAACTCCCAAGCCATAATCCCGCCTCCCTATAACGACGTCAAAGACCAACACTCAGAAAATAAAAAAAAGAAAATGCTGTCCGCAAATCGCACCAGACAAATCTAGTAACACACCCATGATCACTGCTTCTCATCCTTCTCCTCTTTCTTCACATTGATAACCACCTGCACTACCATCTTATCATCCTCCTCATCCTCACTGTCACACTCTCGCTTAATCACCCTCTTCGCAACCTTGCTAGGCGACTTCACCACCCCACCCATTTTCGCTTTGCCCTTAGGCATAGTAGACTTCGACTTGCTCGGCGACGCAGCAGGAGTACTCGCGGCCGAATGTCCATCTTCTTTCGCAACCATCCGCCGGAGGCGAATGATGTGGTTAAGGACTGCGCAGGCGGTTACATCTACCCTCAAGATACATCGTACCATATTAGTCTCAACCTCGATTAATTCACGGGAGGTGAAGGGGTAAGTAACTCTTACCGGGACCCATATGCGCGGCTAGTTTGTTGTAGTCGGGCTTGAAATTGGCATCTTTGAATTGGTCGACGAAGCCGAGGAGGAGCTGTGTTTGTTAGTTGGTGTTTTTTATTGAGGAGGGATTGGGGGTATTGCGGGTTGATGGTACCTTTGCGTCTGCTTCTGGGGTCCAGGTTATGGGCATTTTGATTTTGTATGCCTTTGTTGGTTTGAGTGTGGTTGATGTGGTTGGTGAGGTTGGAGTGAGGTTGGAATTGTTTGTTGTTGTAAAGGAGAGTTGATGGTGGATTGTTGGTTAGGAGTGTGATAGAGAGAGGGATGTGAGGGATTCTGTTAACAACACAAGATTTGTAACTGTGGTGATAGTGGATGATGTGATAGCACCTTTCATTCATTAGTGAATCATTGTGTTGTGTTAGTTTGCTGTGTTGAAGCTATGACTCAGTATTACCAGCCTGGTGCTTGTACTCCAAGTGCTCTTGTGCAGACATAGAACAAAGTGAGTGATATATTGATAGTGTGTAGCTTTACTCTCGTATCAGTAAGGAGGGATGTAGTACATTATCAACAGTTACCATGCGCAAGTCATTTCTGTATTAGATATCGATATACCTGATAAGATCTCATGTATAACCAGTGTGCTATATCTCTCTTATACTCAACATATCACTAACCACCTCAGATCGTGAACTCCCCCTGCAGCGGCAGATCCCGACTAGACCTCCCCACATAGACCTTGTATGTCCCCGACTGAAGCAACCATTCCTGCGCCACCACATCCCACGTACTCAAGTCGCGACGACCCAAAGCAAACTCCACGGTCACGGTTTGTCCAACCGGGATATTGACCTTCTCGAACCCACGAAGCTGACGAACTGGTCCATTGGGAATACCCAAATACAGCTGCGCAACCTCGTCCCCAGCCACGGGTCCGCTGTTCGTGATGTCGACAGACACCCGGAGGATGACATCCCACAGGTGCGGGTTTCCACCTTCTTGGATGGCCGCGGCCGGCGGATACCGACTCGTCGAGTTATCGCCGACCTGGCCGATGCTCAGACCAGAGTAGTCGAACGTGGTGTACGACAGCCCGAACCCGAATTCGAATTGCGGCTCGATGCCTTCCTTGTCGAACGCGCGGTAGTCGATATACACTCCCTCGCTGAAGTCGTCCTGCGGGAAGAGTCCGTACTGGCCCTCGGGCTGCGTGGGATGCAGCAAGGCGCCGTAGTCCTCGGCCTTCTTGGCAACGGTGTAGGGCAGCTTGCCAGACGGGTTGGAGCGCCCGTAGAGCAGCTCCACCAGTGCACGGCCGGAGTCTTGACCCGGGAGATGGGCGAAGATCACGGCGGTGACGTTCTCGTGGTCGATCCAGTTGTTGACGAGTCGGATTCCGGCGTTGTGGATGGTCACGATGGTGTTGCTGCACTTGCTGGCGACATTGGTTACTAGCTCGTCGCTTCCCTCGTCGACCAATCCAGCTCGGTCGTACCCTTCTGTGGCGTAGCTGTTGATGAACACGAGACAGGCGTCCGTGTTGGGGTCGACCTCTGGATCTTGAGCGGAAATGTCCCACAGAATGGCGCTGCCGTCTTCGATCACTTGGTTCTGGAGGGCATCCAAGGGGGCACTGATATACGCCGGCGAGTTTCCACCAGAGCCGCCGCCCACGATCAGGGTGTGATTCGGCTGGATCGCTGGGCTATAGCTAAACCATTCCAATGTGAACCCGAGACTGTCGGGCCCCTTTGCATCATACCCGAATACGGAAATCATCTCTGGTGACTTCAGCGGAAGAGCATTGTTCTTGTTCTTCACTAACACGTGCCCTTCAATGGCGCTCTGGAGAAGCACTTTCCGGGAGTCGGATGATTTCCCGATAATGGCTTGGTGTGGCGCGTATACGTCTGTTGGCATACCTACGCCGGGTGATGGGAACCCAGCGTCCTGGTTCATCTGGTACCACGATGCAATTATCCTAGACATGGTTAGTCATGAGGCTCATAAGCCTGGGCAGGTGAACAGCCATACCGAGTTGCCATATCATCGAGTCTGGATGCGTCCATGGTCCCATTAGCAATAGCGTCAGTGAGGTTCGAGTTCCACAGCGAAGAATATGGCATGACCATATCCAAGCCAGCGTTAGATGCTGCAATGCCGCCATGCTGGGCACCCCAATCGGTCATGACATAACCTAGCTTCAGTCAGTCGCAAGGACGCAGTTTGCCAACCTGTTCAATATTGCCTACCCTGGAACCCGAGTTCCGTCTTCAACAACCCATTCAAGGTCTTGCTATTCTGGCATCCATAGGAGTTGTTAATGCGCTGATAAGAGCACATAATCGACACACTGCCCGCGCGAACCGCGTCCTGGAACGGCCACAGATACAGTTCATGCATGGTCTTATCATCGATATTGGATGAGCTGGCTGCAATACTGAGACCGTCCGCGGTTTCGGGGTTTCGGTTAGTTTCCTGCTCGTTGGCGATATAATGCTAGTCCGGATTAGTATGAGGGCACTTCATAGTCAAGTATGGGTTTAGTTACCTTGGTCGAGGTACCCACACCCGCAGCCTGAATACCACGGATTGTCTCGGAGACCAACAGACCGCTGTGGTAAGGGTCCGTCGAGAAGCCTTCCCAGTTCCGGCCACCTTCTGCGACGCGACCAAGTGGCCGTACCACTGGTCCCAGAAGAACGTGGACGCCCTTCTTGTGGTACTCACTACCCATGTGGAGGCCTCTTTTCTGCGCCAGGTCCTTGTTCCAGCTGAAATGTGAACATATTAGCTGTGTAAGTAGAGTAATCTAATAGTCAGCCTACTTACCTTGCACCAGCATGCACACCACTGGACCATGCATTGACATGGTCTGTACTTCTCTAAAGCAACTCTTAGTCCTCGTCCCTATGGCCGCCGTATAGTGTCATCACTTACCAAGCCGTTCCCAGCATCAGACACACATAACCCTGGAAAGTTCAACCGAGGGATAGCCGCGATATTCCCCGAGCAGCCATTGTCGGCAGTTACACCAGCGGTAAGATTCACCTTCTCCTCCGGGGTTAGATTAGCGACGAAAGCCTTCGCCTTTTCATAGGCAGATGCCCACGCTCCGGATCCCGTACCCTCAGCTACACATACAAGTCAGCAGACATAACACATAAATCGACCGATGCTCTCCACATACGAGATGGATAGACCGCAGGTGACTGTCCATAGAAGTATGCATCGCTGGTGATATTCTCCTGCGTCGGCGCGGCATAGGACAAAGAGACGCCAGCCAAAAGGCCAGTCAACCCCGCAATGGCATGCATGTTGTCCGTTGCTGTTGTCCTTCCCTTACCCCGGGATTTCCGAGCTATTTATCCCTCCACAAGCCCTACCACAACACAACGACAACCTACGCATCTAGAGAACTGACCCATCATCGTATTGGCCATCGGCTAAACATCGGGAAATTATTCAGCGTAGTGTGCAAAAGGGCGCAGGAAAGAAGGTAAATAGATGACTGTATAGCAAGGTTCCCCACATTGATGTACATCTATCCCGGCCGCTCCGGGGTATACTATCCCCGCATTTACCACTCAACCCCACATCAGGACTCTGGGGAAGCTTCGACTATCGCACGCCGGCAGATGGCCGTGCCCTCGGATGCCGTGTCTTCCGTGCCATTGTACTCAGGTCTCTGCAAGCGAGCTCTGAGGAACGTCGCCGACATCCGCTCCGGGGGGGTTCTGGACCGTGTGACTTCTGCGGGGATATGAGGTGACCTCGCACTAGTATTACCCCGATGGAGCTTCTTGCCAAGTATTCTATTAGGCTATAGTGCAGTGCTTGTCCTATCGATTTGATCTTGGGCGGGGCGTTCCGTCTCTTGTGCTCATGGCGTGTGGCCGTGCGGCAAGATCAGCGAATACCACGGTTGCACTGATACATAGCTACATTAGTAATGTACAGTACTAGTATTAGTCGGCTTCAGAGATGCTCACCGAGTTGTTAGGTAAATGGTCCGGTTGGAAGTGTGGCCGGGTGATTGCTAGTCTGGCCATCCTTTGCTCTCTAGGTTAGATGCGTTTAGTAAGTCTATACCCTGAGTACCCTGAGTCAGAGGAATGATATCATGGTCCGGTGCTGTCATCGAGCTCTCCAAACCTTGATCTGAATGCAATGTCATGATATCGTGCTTGGAGATACAAAAGGCTGGTCCATGGCGTCATCAGGTAAGCTAAGCTACCCTCGAACCCTGAGGTCAGTGGATACCATTGCCTAATTAGGAACATGTAAATACATGCATGGGTGCCTTAGGTGGGGATGTATCTTCTACTAGTCTCTCATTTCAGTTCCCCCCTGCATGGATGAAGCTGAACAATGCATATTTCGCTACCATTCTCTATACAACTAACTATACTCTATGGCGCCCCCGACTTCTCCAAGTGTAATGCAGGAGCCATCGCATTCTCAAACGTCTCCCTCGCGATTTTCTCCTGCAACGTCCTCTCATCCCCGTCCAAATTATCCCCAAACACGACCGCTATCTGCTCCAGCGACTTGCCAGACGTCTCAGGAACAAACAAGTACGAGAAAACAGCCGCCGCCACACAGAACAACCCAAAGAAAAGAAACGTGCCCCACCCAAGCTTAATGAGCATCTCGGGAACAACGACGCCGATGATGAAATTCGCAAGCCAGTTCATAGCAGTGGCGGCGCCGACGCCCTTCGCACGTTTGGAGTTGGGAAACACCTCTGCCGGCAGGACCCAGGCCAGGGGGCCGTATGAGACTGCGTATGCGAGCGCATAGGCATCTAGTGTCTGTGTTAGTTCTATATAACCAGCTAAAGGGCAAAAGCGGCACGTACAGATGAGGGCGACGCAGAACCAGCCTATCGCCTTATGCGAGGGCCAGTCGTCGCTGTATCGGCCCATCAGCCCGGCCATGATCAGGTGCGGTATCGCCATGATAACCCCTCCGATGATGGCCATTGTTCGCCGACCGACGCGGTCCAGATACATTAGGATCGGGATACCCCCGACCAGCTGGCAGATGTTGACCATCCCGGAGAGGATGAGAGATGTCTCGCTGTTTTGGCCGAGGGCTTCGAAGAATGTGGGCGCGTAGTATACGAACGCGTTAATTCCCGAGAACTGTCGGGTTGTGTGTGTTAGTATGCTGGAATAAACCCGCACAGTCGAGCACTATACCTGCTGGAAAAATGGAATAGCCAATGCCACGAGTGTTCGCCGGAAATACTTCGGCCGGACGAGAGACACCCACTGCTTCAGGCCGACCAGCAGTGGACGAGATTGGTGGTCCGGGTACTCTTTCTCGAGCATTTGTCGCTGGAATCGCACTTCGGACAGGATGCCTTTCCATTCTAACTGGACCTGCTCGTCGTGCACAGGGCGTCGGCGCAGCTTCGCCAGAGCGGAGAGACTATCTTCGTCCCTGCCGCGCATTGCGAGCCATCGCGGCGAGAAGGGGAAGAAGTGGATCGCGCAACCGACTATCAAGGCGGGAAACATCTGTAGGAGGAATGGCAGCCGGAATGACCACTCGCCGGGTATGGCCCTAACCAGACGAATTAGAAAGCTTGCGGGGCAAACGCGGAGATGTAGTGACAGCATACCGCGTGCCGTATGTTATCCAATATGCCACAATGGCCCCAATAACAATGCTTATGGATTCCAGTACGAGCAATGATCCTCTCCAAGCCGGGGGAGCGATCTCCGAAATATACAACGGTGCCCCCATGGCCAGGGTGCCGACCCCAATACCCCCAATGAATCTGCCAGCACCAATGTGCCATAGTTCATGGATGCCGTCTGAATGATCGCGCCAATAACGAAGAACACGGTCGCCACGGTCAACCCCCATTTGCGGGAGATCCGATCCGCAATGGCTGGGAAGAACAGACAGCCGATGAAAGCGCCAAGCTCGAGCATGCCCGTCATAAAGCCGGTATGGAATCCATATCGTGGGTTTTCAGGCGAGGTCTCGGGGAACTGTTGCCGGAACTGGGGCATCACCAGAATGAGGGAAATAACACCTTGATCTAGGAGATAGAGTCAGTCCCGTTAGCGGATGCAAATCAAAACCAGGCGAAGAATAGTGTCTAGCATACCATACCCAAAGGAGAACCCGCCAAATGAGGCGAGGAGCGCTGCTCCAAAAACGTAAGGGGAGTGTAAAAGGTCTCGCAGCTGTCCATTGTCGTATTTGACCTCGACGGTCATGTCGGGCGGACCAACGTCGTCTGCGTACTCATCATGAGCTAACGAAGGTTTCTCAATTGTCTTTTCCATGGCCGGGATATTTCAATTGGTCTGGACAGTCCGCCAGGATCATCTACGACAGCATGGTGAAGCTATATATATATATATCTTCGTACCAGTCCAGATAGCTGGAGAGAATGCCCATGGTCCATGGCGATAAGATGCAATGCTTCTCCGCATTTTTGTCGCATACCCCACGGGGGACAGCCGAGACGACCTCCAGATCCGGGCAAATTTAACCCCGTTGGGATGTCTGAATGTGTCATCTTTCTTGTTATTGGTTCCCACCTCCCCTTTTCGGGCCGCATTTGCCCTTTCCAGTATTGCCTGATGTGGATAATCTGCCCCATTGGGAGAGGCCGGCGTCGGCTATCGAAGCGCAAATGCCGGGGTTCCTCTGGCTCCAATCACCATGGTTCATATCGTTGATATGGCACTTTTTAAGGTTATTGCTTGTGGGTGCGTAGGCAGTTAGGATATACCCGAGTCCTTGACGAACAGCCACTGATATCTGAGCATCCAGGTATCAGCCTATTGCCTCCTTTGGTAGGCGTCAGTACCCTTATTCGTTGGATATTCCCATGTTAGAATAGACAATGATGTATGCGATGGTATTAGATTGACCTATATGATATCATGATTACTAGCCTGGATCTCACAGCATTAAGGAAAATCGTCACGTCAACCACCTCCACAAAGATATACCCATATGACAGTCTCTATGTACGTCAGTCTAATCTAGATTGCAGTGCCTAGATCATCGAAGGCCCCACTCTGGTTCGTTCCGACAGGAAGGACAGCCCGAGGCAACACAACGTGTCAACTCACGGCTTAGGCCCATCCGTAGACGTGTCGGCTTGCCTGTTCTTCAAGTCCACCTCGTCAAGGGTGTCTTCATCCGTATTGGTGAGAGTGACGGCTAACACGGCCGGAATGGCAATGACAAGCGAGCCCATACACAGGCCCCAGTCGACGGCAAACTGCAGCATTGGCGACTTGTTCATCGCCCCCAGTCGCCACGCCATCGCACCTCCGACGCTCTGGAAGGTTTTGTACGCTCCCACCAGGATGGCCGCCACCGCGGGAGAGTTCGACTGGGCTCCCATCAACCAATAGCAGAACGACTGCCAGAATGCATCGTACATGCCGTAAAAGATATAAAGAAACATGGGCCCAACAGAAATGCTGCTATCTGTGAAGTCGACATCTTGCTTCTTGCCCTGCGCCACGCGTCGATCGTACCAGAGCTGAAACGCGTATCCTCCGCCCCAGATCGCCATCCCCGTGACGAATAAGAACAGCCAGTTAACCCGTGCCCGCCATTGACGATTAAGCCCTGGGATATCAAGGAGGAAGCCCATAATGAGTCCACCGAACATCTGTGCGATCCAGTACAGGGCTCCATTCAAAGAGCGACTGCGGATGTTGAATGTCATTCCGTTGACAATATTTTGCTGATACGAGTAGAATACATTGGCGCAGAAGAACAGCGGGAGCATGGATAGCACTCTCCAGTCACACACAGTCTTCAGGGTGAGCTTCGTGATGTTCAGCCAATTCTTTTCGGTCTCGGGGGTTGTTTGGATAGTTGCCACCCGCACTGATTTCGGTGGGCAAATCAGACCTCCCATGAGCCATCCGATGGCCATGATAATGAGCAGAGCGATGTACGTGCCGTCCGATACGGTTCCACTAGTTGAGTGGTAATTCATACCGAAACTGGCCAAGGAGCCAATGCCACCTCCCAGATTGAAGATAATCCAAAAGGCTGCGATGGCGCGGCCCTTCTGCGATTCTGGGACATATGTCGTCATTATAGCGCCTTGTGCCACCCAAAGGAACGATGCTCCGATACCGAGGATGGCTCCAGATGCGATCACAAATGCGCCGTTTGCCGTGCCTTCAAACAAACATTAGCATGGAGAACAAAACATTATTTGTGAAGCACCTACGGTTGAAGCATAGCAGACTTCCGGAATACAATGGATACGTCCAACCTCCAATCAGCAGACAGGCTCGAGGTCCGATGCGGTCGAAGATAGGGCCGACGACGAAAAGCGCGGTACCAGCCATGGCAGAGAGTAAGGCAACGTTTGCATTTGACGCGACGGTCTGATCGACCTGGCCGGAGCCTCCAATCCCAGTGAGGGCATTATACATCTGCGTTGGAAACACTGCATCAGCATCGTCGAATAATTCGCTCGCTGTGGACTGAACACTTACGCCGGGACAGCAAAAGCAGATGAAACTGATTAGCAATATTTGAAACCACGGGTACGTATACACGCGGTATACCTTGGACCGTTGTCCATTCATCCCGGGGGCGGGACCCAATCCCTCAGCAACATATATTGGATCGTTGCCCATATCGATCAAGACCAGACTGAACTGCACGTTCGTGGATTTTTGAGTAAAGCGAACGAAGGGCGGACATTGCGTCCCTTTAATATAAATGAAAAATTAATATAAAGCTGCCCGACAGCAATGAGACTTGTCCACATAAACATCCTTGCTCGAGTCAGTGTGCTGATAACGATTGGCTTAGTTGGGATGAGGCCACCCATGATTGGAACATACGATTAGTCTCCGTGCGATACCGTCACATCCAACCCCAGATTACTGGTAAAGATAAGACAGCCATGCGACGCTAGGAGGTAACCCTAGTGCGGGTGTCTGATGCCGATCTTGCCTCGTATTTCATTCAACCCCAACATAAAAGAGCCAATAACAGTTGGAGTCAAGGGAAAGATGCATGCACACGCCAGGTAGCTCCCCTGGAAACCTTTGGAGATAGCCCTTTCATTGGCTCCATCGGAAGACAGGAGGCCTGAACCGACCGCAGACCGAGTCCGATGATCTCCGCACAGCGCAGAGCGAACACTTTGTAAATTAAAAATAGTCCACGCCATTCTTAGCGACTATAGCCATGTTGCAATCCCAAGTATCACTCTGATGAAGGCTAGGGTGCATGCATCAACGCCACGTGTCTGTCGTAGCAGCAGGTAATTAATGTCGAGGTGAGAAAAGCAGACGCCAGTCAAGTAGCTGCATCCGGGAAGAAGATGTGATTTTTCGACAAAAACATAGCCCAGGGTCAGCTTGGTGCACAAAATTGGACTTGAGTCCAGAACTGCAGCACTGGCATTGTGGCTTAAAATAGCAGGCGCAGATAGTTCCATGTATCAGCATCATGATATTATTAGAGGAGGATCGTCCAACCTTTGAAGTCTATACATTAATAGTATGAATAGCTAGTGTCAACGGCACTACAGCTTTAGGTAGCACCCTATGTTCTCGGTTGCATGGCAGTTGCCAAGCGTATAGTTCGGTTCCTCATGAGAGTTGACAGTGTCACTCCACCGATACGGGCCAAGCGAACCTTACGTTGCTTGGTTGTCGCTTATCCTGGTGAGCACGCGAGATCTAAACAGGATCTAGTGCGGGTCATTGAATCTGGGGCTCGCATTCAAGTAGTTGTTTGGTATGTGTGGCTCCTACCCAATCCAGTTGAATGACGGGCCTTTCGCATGGCAAATTATGGAGTATACACTAATTTTCTATCAAGCCATTTCAAGGTCATCAACTAGTAATATTCTTAGAAGAAAATTGAAGACAAATTCAGAAGTAAAAAAGTAAAACTGAGAAACAACCTTGGATATGCATCTGTAGACAACAAATGGAAACAGACAGATCTGGAAAATTCAAAGTCCAATCAATGTAATAGTAAATTAGTAATTGACCGACTGAGGAACATGACATAGGAAATAGGAAAGGGATAAGTCTAGCAGTTCCAGGGGGAGCAGGGGTTGGGAGATGGATTAAAAAAAGAGAAAGTTGAAAGTGGGGGAACGTGACAGAAGAGAAGTGAATGAATGATCCGTGAATGACAAACGCCGCGCACCAAAGAAAGACAATATTGTCCAGTAAACAAAAGCTGTGAGAATTTGGCTCCTTCATAAGCATAGTGACCTTGTCCCGGGTAAGTATCGTATTATCTACTTGGGCCTGGTCCCGATAACTAAAGCAAGTCGAATAACTAGGGAAAAGATGAGCTCGTACCCGCATCCCCAGACGAGTCCAAACACGAAAAAAGCAGAAGGAGATACGAGGGACTATCCACGATATCCTCAAACTGTACTCTGGCTCCAAAATTACTTACGATCAATTCTTGCTTTTGAATACCAACCACGTTCCGCGAGAGCCGTACTGGAAGTTGGAAACAGTGCATAAGAGGCAGTACGGTCTAGATACAGACTGGGCTCTAGCAAAGTCTCTTCTTAAAGATTGCAAAGGATGCCAGGCGTTGATCAGGCATCTCACCTGTGGTGGAGCTGTAGATGCCATCGATAGAAATGGGCCTGATTAGGTCGGGGAATACGCCTCATTTGCCAGATATATTGAGGATATTTCTCAACCGAACAACAGGGACCCCTCTACGTCAGACGACGGGAAAAAGGGGCAAACACCCCCAAGTAACTTGCCGCGCAATCAACGGGCCTCAAGGAACAGTAAACCTCGATACAACATCGACCTGTCAGACGCCGATGACTATTGCGAGCCGCCCTCCATGGCCAAGAAGCCTAAGATCGATACCCCCAGAACGGAAACAAACAATCTTGCGGCGAAAGACGAGCAGACTGTGACCGCAATGTTTATTGCTCTAGTCAGGGAGTTAAGTGCCTTAGCGACCCAGACACTTCACACCTGGATCATTGAAAAAATAATATTCCGAGCTACTTTCGATTCAAAATAGCGCATGACTGCGGAAGTTGATGGTGCATTTTGGGATCGTAATACCCGGCTTACGAAAAGCGTCTTTGAGGCGAAGCGGAAACGAAGGCTTGATATCTTCGATGCTGTTCGTATGCAAGAAGCTGCGGAGCTCGCTGCTTGGTACGCGGTGGCTGATGGCAATAGCTTGCCTGATCTGAACGGCGGCAAGTCGCGATTGCAATTGCTCTCAAGGTTTATGGTCTAACTAATATCTATGCAGCCGAATCCTTTTCTCACTGAATTGGAAGGAAGCTTGG